CCCTGTGGTTTACGTGCTACATAGCTGAGATTGGTCTTCTTGTTCCTGTTTCATAAGTTTGCACCTAATAATTAAGTAAAATATAATTGGTTTATATTGTAGCTAACCTAGTATTTTTCAACCTACATTAATTCAACAAGATACTAATTATATTTTATAACTATCTTAAATAGTAAAAGATAATCAGTGAAATACCCATGAAATTGGATCTTTCTTGTGTAGGGTTACCTGGTGAGCAAAAACTCCACCTTGTGATTTTTATGTGACCTGTGTTTGGAAGAACTATAAAAATGGTCCATCAGTCTAAGACCTTCTACCAAGATGTTCAAAGAAAGTGCCCAAAAATAATTGCAGCTCTATGTATATGCAGTTAAAGATCTTGCTTGGTCTTTTGAAGGTTTCAGTTGTCACTCAGTGCCTAGAAAGACTCCATTCATCTACATATTTTAAAGACTCAAATTAACCTTCTTTTCTTGCTTTAAGGATATTATAGAAATTAAGGCATAGTCCAAAATTCTTTCCAGATATTAGAAATGAAAAAAACAAGCATCAAAAAAGAATAAAATTTGCAATCAATAAGCATTCGCTGAACCGAATAGAGGGTTCTCAAAAGAAGAAATACAAATGGGCAATAGTTAGTGTGAAATGTGTTCAATATTCTTAGCCAGCAGGAAAACAGACATTGAAACTGCTTTATACTCTATCTCACTCCGCTAGAATGGCTACCATCAGGAAAACAAATGACAGCAAAAGAAAGTGAGGGTTTGGGAATGAGGAGCCTTTATAGTTGATGGGAGTGTCAGCTGGCATAGGCACTGTGAAAATCAGTGTGGGATTTTTAAATATTCTAGAAAGAGAATGACTTTATGATACAACTATACTACTCCTTAACAGCCATGTTACCAAAGAATTCTTCATCCTACCCCAGAGATACTTGTATGTTGATGTTTATCGCTGCTCTGTTCATATCAGTAATTAAAAGGATTTACAAGATTCCACTCCAAAATTTGGCTTGTACATTCTCTCTGCCCTCTCTTTCACAATGTACCCTGAGTCTGAAAGAGAGTTATTCCCTACTTAGGGACACTGTGTGGTTAGTTATTCTTATTGCTTTTACCGGTTTTGAGTCTCTGCATTAACTAATGCCCTCTCCAGAATGAAAAGTATAGACATTAATACTTAAAAGACAAATTGACATGATGACCATTTAGCAAAACAGTAGTAGCAAGTTCACCCCTAGAGAGTATGCTTTCCCAGCCATTATCTTTTGACCATAATCTAAACAGAATATGTTTGGTTACTGATTACTCCAATAACAATCACAACATATCATGCCACAGACATTTCTTCCCAGGAAAGTCATTGCTATACCCCATGTGATCAGCATTTAGGTAGGACGATTGATGGGTCTTTCCCTCAAACAATGTGAAAAGCAGGGTTTAGTGTTGTGAAAGCTAGCCAGAAGGAGGCAATTCCAGATCAGATCCAGCCTGGTTTCTCATTATCCTGCAAACCAAGTGTGTGGTAGCCCAAGCGATGAGGTTTTCTGATCTAGTTTTGGTGGGCAATTGTTTTTGGAACTAATACTGTTTGGCGGACTCTGGACCTCTCTACCCAAATAGCTTACAGAGAGCTATTTTATAAATAACACTTAGATTTTTGTTTGATGATCTTATCATTTATCAAATTTTATTTATTTATTTATTTATTTATTTATTTATTTATTCATTCATTCATTCATTCTATATCCCAACCACAGTATTCCTCCCTCCTCTCTTCCTAGTCCTTCCCCCCATCTCCCCTCTACCTCCCTACTCCATCTACTCTTCCTCTGTTTCTATTCAGAAAAGGCAGGCCTACCATAGATATTGTCAAAACATGGCATATAAAGCTGTAGTAAGACTACGCATCTCACCTTGTATTAAGTCTGAACAAGGTAACCCAGAATGAGGATTAGGGTTGCAAAAGCCAGTAAAGGACTTAGAGGCAGCCCCTACCCAAACTATTAGGAGTCTACAAGAAGACCAAGCTACACAACATTATATATACACCTCGGCCAGTCCCATTCAGGTTCCCTGATTGTTGTTTTTGTCTCTGTGACCTCCTTAGAGCCTAGGTTAGTTGAGTCTATGGGTTTTCTCTTGATGTCTTTGATTCCTTTGGCTCTTGCAACCCTTCCTTCCTCTCTTCAGTAAGATTCCATGAGCTCAGCCTAGAGTTGGACTGTGGGGTCTCTGTATATGTTTCCAGCAGTTATTGGATGAAGTCTCTCTGAAGACTATTAGGCTAGGCATCAACCTATGAGTATATCAGAATATTGTTAGGCATAATTACATTGCCTTTTTTTCCCTCTAGTCATAGTTGATTCTAGTCTAGGTCTGTGGGGCCATCCATCTTTTGGGTCTGGCACTCAAGGCAGAGTCAGGGGTAAACTCACTCTTGAAGCATGGGACTCAGGCTGGACCAGTCACTTGTTGATCACTCCCACAATTCTGTGCCACTCTTACCCCAGCATTTCCCATAGGCTGGACAGACTAAAAGTCTAAGATAATGTGGCTGCGTTGGTGTACCAATTCCTCCACGGGAAGCTATCTCTTTTTTAAAAAAATTATATTGGAATAGTCTCTTACTATTTTATTTTTGGGGTTTTTGTTTGTTTGTTTGTTCATTTGGTTTTTATTTATTTGTTTTTTGAGACCAAGTCTTGGTGTTTAACTCATACCAACTTCTATTTTCTTCTGCTAGTTTTGTAATTTCTCATATTTCACACTTTGATACCTTTTCATCTCATTCTTTTGTCATTGTTATTTTTAGTTTCTTGCTGTGTGTTTTTGAGTAGCTTTCTAATGAGTGGAGGAAAGAGGTCAGGTTTAGTCATCTGCATAAATAATACAGTCTTCTCAGCACTGTTTGTTGAAGTTGTTGCCATTTCTACAATGGTTTTTTGGTATACTGTTAAAAATGCATTTTGTTGGAGGTGTGTGTGTGTGTGTGTGTGTGTGTGTGTGTGTGTGTGTGTGTGTTTAAATTGTTCTTTTTTATTCCTTTGGCTTGTGTATTTATATTCTTTTGTCAGTGTCTGATCTTTGAGTTCCTATGGCTGAAAAGAATATTAAAAGAATATTTTTGTTGTAAGGAAGGTGGGTTGTTTCCTGACTTCTCAGCCGTGAAATAATCACACAGAAACTATATTATTTAAATTACTGCTTGGCCTATTAGCTGTAGCTTCTTATTGGCTAACTCTTATATCTTAATTTAACCCATATCCATTAATCTGTACATCACTGCAAGGTCGTGGCTACCAGCAAAGTTTCAGCATGTCTGTCTCCGGCAGCTCCATGGCTTGTCCTCTGACTCTGTCCTCCTCTTCCCAGCATTCAGTTTAGTTTTCCCTGCCTAGCTCTGTTCCCCAATAGCACTGCTACAGGCCCAAAACAGTTTCTTTATTCATTAACCAATAAAAGTAACACATAGACAGAAGGACCTCCCATCCTATATTTTGAAATCACCTACTATGATGCTCCCAGATTTGTTAAAGATTGTTTTATCTGTTAAAGGACTCTAATGTTACATATGTACTTTAGAATTATTCTCTTTTGGTTTTAGCTTCATAAAGAATGTCATTAATATTTTCAAAAGAATTACATTGAATATGTATTTGGAAGACTTTTAATGTTAAGAAAATTTCAATAATGTTAGTTATTACAAGGATATTTTTTTTTATTGTTTCCTCTTGAATTTCTGTCATTGGTGATCTTTGGTTAAATTTATTACATGATATTTTTATAATTGAATTGATTTCCTACCTTCTTTCTTAGCAACACTGTAGGCAGTTTATAAAAATTCTTCTAAATTTTGAATGCTGATTTTCTATACCTCTCCCAACTATTTGGATTTTCTGAATAAAGTACCAAACAGTAAACATAATACAGCAAATATCATATAGTCTTCAAGTAGACTAATTTGAATTCCTTAATGGCTTTTAGTGATCGTTTTTGCTTTTTTGCCTTGAGTAATTGTTTTAAATACATATTTTGATTATACTGGAACAATTTAAGATATATTGTGTGGTTTCCTCATCACTGTGATGGCATTCCTGACTTTGATAACTGAAAAGAGAAAAAGTATATTTTGGAACACAGTTCAGGGAATGCAGTTCATCATGACATGAAGTGTGTTGGTAGAGGATGACAGAGGTAGCAAATTAGGACACAGCTTATGATATCTACGTAGAGTGAGAAGCAGAAAGTCCCTTACCATAAATACAGATGAACCATCAAAGCTGACCTGGATGGCCCTCTGCCAGTTTGCCCAATATTCAGAGATTTCATGGCCTTTCAAAATGGTACTATCAACTGGAGTCCAAGCATTTCAACACATGAGTTTTTGAAGATATCTTACATTCCATATAGTTTGTCACATCTCAGTCGGTTGGGAAGCTGATAGACCTTGATGCAGAACTGGGGACCAATGATAACCATCCAGGACAAACTGTGTCTCTGCATCTGTCACCTTAGGCCTATGTCTAGAACACCCCACAGGAACTCAAAGACACCGCCACTGGCAGGGGATCAAGAGTTCAAGTCTCCATGTGAACTTATATAGGATACTTTAAATTCAAATCATAGCCTTAAATTATTGCTAGACTATGTATAATACCTAATTTAAGACTAGTATTACAAAAATAGATGCAATGCATTATTATTAAAAAATAAACACAGAAACTAAGAAAGACCACAGGTGCTCAATACAAATATAAGTGTTTTGTCTAAATATTTTCAGTTTACAAATTGGCTGACTCCATGGATGCAGAGGTCATTGGTCGCCAATAAAGATTCTATAGTGAATGACAGTATATGAATTTACAGAAGCATTCTCTTTCAGCATGGATTATTTATTCATGTTTATGTTGTTATGGATAGTCACATATCACTATTCATCCAGTTTCAAAATATTTCAGAGAAATATCTTTACTTACTATTTAATTTCTCTCTTCCCAGGTTGAGCTCTGTTAATCTTGAATCTGCCGTCCCCTATCCTACTGATAAAAGCATTGCAACTGCTGTGGAAGTTTGCCAGTGTCCACCCGGGTACAGTGGCAACTCTTGTGAAGTAAGTTTGTAGGAACCAATCCCCTCAGATAATGGTGCCAATAAACTTTACAAAATTGGGTATTTTGAAAATTTAATCCATAATAGTATAAACATATTTATATAAAATTGTCTTCAAAATTTTTTATTCTTTGAAAATTTTAAAGATGTTTTCAGTGAAATATTATACCTACCCCTACTTCCCTTCTCCTAATCACTGGGTCCTCAATATGTGCTCTTTTCTACTTTGTGTCTTCTCTTTGATTGGTTTTACTGATATACTATGTCCAATGAGCACCTACCAAATGTGTGTGGGCGTGGTCATCTGCAGCAGCATGGACAACTTACCAGTGGCCTGAACCCCAGAAAAGAATGGTTTTCCCTTGCCTAGCAGTGGTCAGCTGCCAATAACTCCTTAGTTAGGTATAGGGCCTTGGACCCCTTCCATCATCCATGCTAAATTAAAGGAATAATTAGAATCCATGGCTTTTCTTTAGAGTTAACCGTGTATTTTCAAAACTATAGTGTCCTTTCAGTAGCTTCCCTACTGCAGCTGCTATCTGTGTGCTCCTTCGCTTTTAGCCATCTCTAAAGTGAGGGTGGCAAAATAACATTTCAAAATATTTCCTTTTCATTTCTATTACGGGATGGATACTTGTTTCATTTCGGTTTCTTCTTCCATTTTTAAGCCCTGTCAACCTCTTCTTCTAGCTCTTTCTGAAGAAAGCATCCTGGAGTCAGCAAACAATCCTTGAAACTTCAAGGGCAGAGTGTGTGGGGAAAATAAATTGCACAAAAACTCTTTCCTACTCTTGAACACCTGAGACTTGACAGCTTTGCTGTTGTCTCACTGTTCTATATTTGTAATTAAAAAAATCAATGTTTCTTAATAATTCGGAATATCGTTTTAAAATGATTTTGAAATATTAATCATATGTGTTTTCTTTTAGATAGTTTGAAAGTGGATTTACTTGAAATCTCTCATGTGTGTGTTGTGTGAGCGCACACATACACATAACACACACACACGCACATATACACATCATTTCCTGGTGGAAGGAATGGCTTGTAGATAAAAAAGAACTTATGTTTCTTTAAAATGGTACCTTGAAGGAGTTATCTGAGTGTTCTAAGATGTTCCACTCCACAGTACTATTTATGCCATTTGTAGAAACACCCCAGGCATAACTTTGCTGATTCTTGTGCTCTTTAAAGTAATACATGCATCCAGAGGCTACACAGAGCTTAAAGTCATGCTTGTGACTAATGCCTTTTCTTTAAACTGTGTAGAATTTTGCCTGTCTAGAAATGAAACTAAATGTAATTCATTGAAATACTTGCTTTTCCAAAATTTATAGAGATAAGAGAAAAATAATCATGGATATGAATTAGTTATGTCAACTCAAATTTGATTTTACATATAAAACATATGCTGTACTTGATAAAATATTCCTTTATTACAAGTCTTCCAGTTTTGATTTCAAACCAGTCAGGTCCCTTTGAAGCTTTAAATTCCTATTTCAGTTGGAATATTAAATGCCCTTCTTCTATTCTCACTTTTAATATAGCTCCACTTTATTCTCAGTTCTCTTCACCAACTTCTATACTAAATGCCCATTGAATATAAAATTATCTGAATATTAGACCTGTTCACTTATTTGCTTTTTTCTTTTAACCTCTAGAAATATTTTTCATAAGTTATATATTTAGCAAATTTTATAAATTCATCTGTATAAATTAGCAAGAAGTATACAACACAGCCTCTGTCTTTAAAGATTCAGTAATCTGTTTAGATAGACAGAAAAAATACCACTGGAACGTTGAATCACAGCACTCTATAATGAAGGGAGCAGTAAGAGGTAAATAAGGTAATGGTGATAATCCTTCCAAGGGCTGAGCTGTTGTTCTGTGGAGGAAGATGTGTGGGAAGATATCATGGAGAAGAAAACACATAATGATGGAGAGAATGAAAGAAATGTGTAAGCATGGAAAGAAGGAAGACATAAAGAAGTGAAAATAAAACCTTTCAGGACTCTTCGTACAATCATTGATACATTGAAATGAACAAAAAGAACTTAGTCAAGTCGGGGCAATGGATTTTTAAACTATGGACTCTGACTTTTTATTTTATTTAACCTCTGTTAACCACTGAAGTCTTAACAGAGCTTTCTCCCCTTACATGTAATGTTCTCCATCAGGACCTGACTTGTTCTGATTGTTTTTTTGCATTGAAATTACTATTAGGGCCAGTCACTCTAGCATTGTTATCACTAATGTTCTTAAATGTGTTGAAAACTGAGGGAACTACAGGGACAACATGTCTCAGTTCCAGCTTGGTGATGACTGCCCAGGCAACAGCCCATCAATGACTCTATTACTAAGTTATTCTCTTTTATCTTATTTGGGGAGTCACAGTGTTGATTTAGAATGTTTCTTGTTTGGGACCTTATTTTTGTAGTTATCAAATTTTATTTCCAACTGCTAGTAACAAAATACAAGTGGCTAATATGCATGAAGAGTAATGATCTTTTAAATAAACACGGTCACACGTTAGTATTACAACAATACTTTTGCCTATAGAGTTTGATAGGATTATAGCAGTCTTATAATAACATAGATTGTGTAGATTGTGTCTCCTCTGTATCTAGTAATGAAAATACTCCTCTTACCTTTAATGACTAGTCACATCCATTTCTGCTCTATGTCGCACACCACTCAAAGAATGTTTTTTTCTATTTGTTTTGCCCATCATTTTCTTTTACATCTTATAAATTTCTATGATTAGTCTCTAAAACTTTTCTTTTGTGCCTAATATTTTATTATTTGTCTTTCTGATAGATGATGATGTGAAGGTAAATTGGGCTGCTAAGTGTTAGCCTGAAAGATTTTGTTTATATAAAAGTGAGTTAATATTAACTACTTCCTCGATGTGTTTATACTTTCACTTAGTTGACAGTTTTTGATGATCATATGTACTTGAGAAAATTAAAGTCTTAGACGTAGAAGACAATGTTCTAAGAATTATAGATGTGGTTGGTCTCTAGAAACAACACTGAAGGTTAAGAAACAGATCACAGTTAAGAGCACTGGCTGCTCTTCCAGGGAACTCTGGCTCTGCTCTCAGTATAAACATGGTGGCTCACAACAATTTGTAACTCCAGTTCCAGGAGATGCAGTACTGTCTTCTCACCTCTTCATGAACAAGGCACAATTTTATACACAGACACACAAGCAGAGCAAAGATTCAAACACATAGAGGAAATAAATAAACATAATTTTTAAGTGGCTGAAATAAGCAGAGGTGTTGAGAATGGATGTATGAGAGTGGGCATACAAAAATTTCTGTTTTGTTTTCAGTAAAGGAAGAAGTGGCATTTAGCTTTACTGAAAACAAAACATTCCATCCTTATGTCTACTCAAACAAAATTGCTTTGCTCTTGCCATCAAATTCAAGGTAGCCAAATGAAATCACTTGACTACTTTTTATCTTACCCATCATCACTGTCATGTGACACAGATGATCCCTCTCTCCCTCAAATGTTTCCTTCTCCTCAATTCTATGGCATTATTATGTTTTCAAAATTTCCATTATACAGTGTTGTGAGGGTGATTTTGCTCTTCTCCCTTTTGTGGTAATTTTTTTGCTGAAGACAAAAGACCATATTTTCACAAGGATGATAATTATTCAATAAAAAAGCTGAGAGGCAGAATGTTGTAAAAACATAAGTGGGTTCTAGAATACTAGTTAAGTAGTATTCCTTTTAGAATAATGTTCCCTCCATTTCTATTATTTTGGATGGAGAATGGGTACAGAGGTGTAGATATAAATCTTGGTGATTATTGGCTTATTGATGGAAAGACAAATATAATGATTTTGATTTTCCCATGGATATTAATATAAATTCCATGTCAAAGGAAAAGATTTGTAAATTAATTTTCTATTGCTGTGAAAATAACCCACTATGACCAAAATGACTTATAGAAGAAAGCATTCAATTGTGCTAACTGCTCCGGAGGTTTGGAGACCATGATGGAAGAGCAAAGGCATGGTGGCAGGAACATCTCAGAATTCACATCTTGATCTGCAGGCAGGAGACAGAGGACACACTGTTAATGACATATGGTCTTTTGAAGCATCAGGGCCCACTGTCCCCAGAAACATACTTCCCTGGGTGTAACCACTCCTCCTAATCCTTCCTACATAGTTCTACAAAATGGAGACCAAATACTTAAACTTATGAGCTATGGAAATCATTTTCATTCAAACCACTGCAAAGTATATGAAACTGGAAAGCTTAAAGAAAGACTGATGCAAGAACATTTTAAAATTATTTTTTAAAGTATGTATTAAAGAAAATACCATCAGAATCCACCTTGACAACAATAAATCACTTCTGTTTGTATTGTCAACACCCTTATGTCTTCCCCCATCTAGACTGTAGATTCTAACTGGTTTTGAAAAGTATATGTTAGAGAAGGAATTACCTATACTGGAATGGAGAAAAACATACTGGAAGGAGACATGATCTTAGAACCATTGTCTTTGTACTGCTCAAATTAAGAGGAAAGTGCACTTTATTTTCTTCTCGGATAGGAAATATTAGTATATCTTTTTCATGTGTTTGTTATTGTTGCTCAAATGGAAGTCTCACATCCTGAGGCAAAAGGATCATTTCCCACACTGCACAGCATGGTTCTGTGCAGTTTATTACTTCAGTGGTTCTCTGTCGTTTCCATTCCCACCTAGAAAAGAGACCTTTTCTGACATATGATGGTATATTTAACCATCCAGAAACATAGTAAATAACTCGCAAGAAGCAACTGCAACCTGAGGGTATCATAAACTTCCAGAGGGCATAAATATTTGCACATTTCTTTTCTACATCTCATCTTGTCTGTGAAAGTCCACACAGAAAGGGAATGTCATGAATGGTGAAAATAAATGTGAGGTTACCTGACCGGGCGGTAACCTGGCATGCAAATATCCCACTGTCATTGGTTTTCTGGTTTTCAAATAATTTTGCTCCACATTTAAAAATTGTCAGTGGTGAAATACAAGCATGCTTATAGTCAAAGAACATAAATATACCAACAAGGCAACATATGCCAAATAAACAACAACCTATTTTATATAAATTTGAGAAAGCATAAAGGACAGAGGAAATTGAAGATAAGATATATAAATTATGAATGTGTACCAGTCACAGGGTGTGTTTTGAAATGAAAGATGGGAAACCTTGGGCATGTCTTCCACATGACTCTGAAGATTCTCTGGAAGGGAGCGTTAGGGGCAGTCGGTATGTGGGGAAAGGTAGTCCATGCAGAGAATCAATCTGTGATGATATTGTGTGCTCCTTTAGCCTAAGATTCTGCAAGATCCTTTTGTGATGCTGCCTTTCTCAGTGCCTTTCCTTCTGTTTTTCTTGTCTATACCTTTTGCTGTGGGACTGTCACATTTCAATTCTTTATATCTCTGCTTTATTTTACCATTTCAGAAGAGACACCAAGCTTATGCTTCCTCTAATCTCATACCTGCCAATAACAGTAAGGTCAGTACGAAACCCCAGTGTCAGGAGTAATAGCAGAGTAGTAATGTTCCAATAATGGCTCTGCTTTTGTGACAAGCACATTTGCTGAGTTTGCTACCTGGGTTATTTTCTATTATCAGGAAAAAGGGAACTACTTTTCTCTTTTTAAAATGCTGAAAAGTCTCTAAAGCCACATCTCTTTTCTCCAGTCCTGTTGGCCTAGGCACCGAAGAGTTAACGGCACTGTTTTTGGTGGCATCTGTGAACCATGCCAGTGTTTTGGTCATGCAGACTCCTGTGATGACGTCACAGCAGAGTGCCTGGTAAGTGCTTCTCTTGAGGATGTTGACTGACAAGGCTAAAATCTGTTCAACAAACCCTGGAACATCTTTTTCCAGAACAGAATTGAGGCTAAGAATGCTCTTTCGTATGTGACCTGCCTAGCTACCATGAGAAAGTGCTTTTCATCTGTGTCGAAAAACTGAATTAGGGTCAAATATATCATTATAAAGTGTAACTAAGGACTAGAATACACATCTACTATGAATACATATGGTTTCTCTCCCTTCTATAAATCTACCAAAAGTGGACTATTTTAAAACATAAAATTATTTATATCCCCATAATATGGGAAAAATATAAAACACAACCATCATAATAAAAATAATTCACTTTTGTATACTTTAGACATTTCTTTCACTCAGAAAATTAGAAATTGTTATATATATATATATATATATATATATATATTTGAGCTTTGAGATCAATTAGAATATTGTGTATCTCATTTAACATGCTAAACATACATGATGCATCTTTAGTGGAACTGTTCCTTCTACGATTGGCTCTGTACTTTTAACCCAAGTGCAGAGCACTGTCTATGCTGCTGCTAAGTAGTTGGAGGCCTGGAGAGTTCTGAAGAGACACTCAGCGGAACTCGAGGGCATGTTAGTTTTATATTGTCTACCCTGGCATGAAGCTTGAAAGAACTCTTGTACCATTAGTCTCATGAAACACAATTTGAGGTGGTGCGAATTTGAGAGGGTATCATCATATTCTATCTCTCTGCAGAATTTAAGGGAGACTCTGTTGTCTCTAATTTGTATAATGTATTTCTCTTGTTCATTTCTCTGCTTTCTCCTGTACTTAAATGTTACTAGGAAAATTCCAAAGTGAAAAATCAGGGCTTTTATTCCAAAATAATTTAACATTTCAGTTTATGGTGCACTTTCTGTTTTCTATGCAAAAGATTTTTGTTCAATTGCAGAGCAGCATAAAACATGATAGCCCTCATTTGTGGATCCATAGATTTTTCAAATGGCGATTTTACAAATAAAAAGGCAGAGTGATTTCCATTTTAATTATACTACAGCCTTTTAAAGTGACTCAGGGGGAAATACTGAACTACCTTTAAACAGTTTATTAGTATGCAGTAGAATATATCCAATTCCAAACTAACATTAATTTGTTTTACTTACCCTGAAAGGACAAAAATAAATATGCTGCAATACCAACCTCATAATGTCCCCTAAGTTATTCTATGAAGTTGAGTTCATTAGGATTAAATCAAATCCTGAAGTTAGTGCATTTGATGATATGAGGCTTTGTAGATTAGGGACCATTTATTTCTGAACAAAATAGTTTCTTTCAGTAGAGTGGTGAGAACAGGAATGGAGAATTAATTGGTAGGCAGGGCCCACCAGGTTATTGACAGTTTGATAGCCAAAAAGAGAGAAGTCATCCTTCCTATGATGGAAGGATCTTGTGGGTTTCCCGAGTGAGCAGATATTCCTGTGGATTCTTCTGGAGACAGTCAGGTGCCACGTCTCAGTATTGGTGCTGATAACTCTGTGCTGGAATCCCATCTGAATGGATTAGTTGTGACATCATCTACGCAGACAATGATATTAGGATGTGGGAACTGGGCAGGCATTGTGCGTGAGAGGAATTCTTATTGACCAGTCAAAACCACCAATGATAACTTATGCAGGAGAAAATGTGAAGTAAAGGGAACACTCATCCATTGCTGGTGGGAATGCAAACTTGTACAACTACTTTGGAAATCAGTATGACAGTTTCTCAGAAAATTGGGAATCAACCTGCCTCAGAATCCAGTAATACCACTCCTGGGCATATACCCAAAAGATTCTCAATCATACTACAAAGGCACTTGTTCAACTATGTTGATAGCAGCATTTTTTTTTTGTAATAGCCAGAACCTGGAATTTATTTTTTTTAAAGTGTTTTGGTGTAACTACCCTTTGAAACCTGATTACAAATGAGCACTTTTGGATTCAGAACAAATTCTGGGTTTCTGCTGTGCAGTTTATCTGCATGACAAGGTTATCTAAACTTATGTGCATTGGAGAAGTCCAGAGAGTATTTCAAGCCACCTAGGAAGGCAGTGTGGTTCTCAGTATTTTCATGATATGAATTGCAAGCATTGTTGAAAGTCACTTTGATAGCCAGCTACCTATGAAAATAACCAGTTCATTGTTCAAAGATAGAGTAGAAAAAAATCTATCTTTCCTAGTTTTGATTTCCATTATTGTGGTTGCCTGGTGCTGTCTCAGTTTTGATTATAAACATACTTAAATTGTAAGAAAATTTGTTTCTATTTAATTAAAAGTAAAAGTAGAAAGTATATACAACAACTGCATTTATTTCTCATTCAGATCTGTAGTTAAAAACATGCAAATTTTCAAGATTTTAGTTGAATTTCAGAAATTCTAATTTTGGCCTGGTTGCTGTGTAATCAAAAGATTTTATAGATCTAATTTTTATCATGTCAACTTGAAATATGAAAATAATAAGTAATTTCTTAGATTTAAGAAAAAATGTGACTTACAGTAAATTTGAAAAGTGAAAGAAAGTGACAGGAAGACCCTATAAAAGGAAAAACTATTTTCTGTAAATGGACCCATTTTCCTTAGATATCTTGTGATAATTGTTAACAGCAAGAGTAACATTTGTGATTTCTTTAAAAATGATTGCTAAAAAATTGAGAAAGAAATTTAAATAAAGACAAGCCCATTTTTAAATATAACAGTTATTGTTTAAAAATACCTCTTATTCACAGTCATTGAACTTCAGCTCCTTTACTTCACAGAATTGAATAGGAAGTTCAACGTTAAATTAATAGATTATATTTTGGATATCTTTCAACAAACAAGCCTGACCTCTCCAAGGAATTTTAATAGGTTGTTCACAGAATTGTATCTTTACTTATTAATACCTATGCTTCTGTTGAGTTCATTTACTAAATATAATTGAAATCACTCTTATTTTAAAACATCAAAATAAATAATATTCATAGTTTCATTAACTTAGTCTATTCCAGTGGTCATGCAGGTTAATAACTTTATACTCCCGGTTTACAGTTAATTTGTATTTTAGCTCCTTCTCTCAGAGAATTTCTCTACTAATCCTAAAATACCCCTGAGTTCTAGGAGCTCTGTATCAGTATGCAGGAAAATTATTAATTGTATATCCTTATTAAACTGAAATATATGTCATTAGTAATGAGTACATTTTGATATTTTATCACTCGAGACTAATCATGATAAATGTTTGGAAGCCTCTGGGACAATTCTGTACTGGCAACTGAATTCTTCACCTGAATCTCAAACTTGGTGACTTTTACAAATGCAGAAAACCCAAGGAAGACAATTGAGTTAATATGAAAAAAATCAAGAAGTAAATTATTGTGTATTTTGGGAAAGACATGTTTCTCAAAACAAATGGCAAGTGCATGTATTTCTAATTTTTTTTTATTTATTAAGGCAATAGTTTACATGCTTTATAGTTTAATTGTGCACTGTTGTATGTTTAAAGTTTCTTGTTTTTTTATTTTATAAATTTTTTTTCAACTGTCTGAAATTTATTAAATTATAAAAGTTTCCATTTCTGCCCCTCGTCCCAACACCCTCCCACTCCCCCCATTCCCCCTCCTCCTCCCTCTCCATCCCTAAGAGCAGTCAGGGCTTCCAACCCTGTGGGAAGTTCAAGTTCCTCCCCCCTCCCTCCAGGTCTAGGAAGGTGAGCATCCAAACAGACTGGATCCCAAAAATCCAGTATATGCAGAGGAAACAAGTCCCAGTGTCATTGTCAATGCTTTTCAGAAAGGCTCCGGGCCAGCCACATTCAGAGAATCTGGCCACATTCAGACAATCTGGTTGGATCACGTGCTCGTTCAGTCCCAGTCCAACTGGCCTTGGTGAACTCTTGCGATGGATGGAGATAGAGACAGAGACCCACATTGGAACACTGGACTTAACTCCCTAGGTCCAAACGAGAAGCAGAAGGAAAGAGAATGTGAGCAAAGAAGGCAAGACCAGAGGGAACCTTCATCCGACGATGGATAGCAATACAGACGGAGACCCACACTGGAGCACTGGACTGAGCCCCCCAAGGTCCAAATGAGGAGCAGAAGGAGGAAGAACAAGAAAAAGGAAATCAGGACCGCGAGGGGTCCGATCACCCACTGATACAAGGGGACTGATCTTGTTGTTTTGTTTTTTTTTTAACATTCAATTACGGGACAAGTAGTGGTCTCACAGATATAATATGTGAATGCATTGTCCAATCCATTAGAGTCCACTAAATCCAAATTATTGTCTGAGCTGAGAAAGTAAATCCCAAAGGATTTACATAATAAACTACAGTTCCTATTAAGATTTTTAATGTCATTAGGGCTTTATGTCTAAATACAATCACACACACACACACACACACACACATAACCTGATAAAAATAAAAATAGGATGTAAAATTTTCATAATGAAAATTTTCTTAACGAATTTTGGCCATTGTTTTATTTTAAGTATGTTACACCAAAACTAGTGTGTTATATAATATTCAGTTATAAGCTGAATATTAAATAGGTGTTAAATTAACTTTCTGTGCTTTTTTGTGCTGTAAAGTTGAACATTTAACGTGTGAAATTATTCTCCCAGATGGGAACACACTAATAAATTTGGAGAACTATTTTTGGTACCGTGGTTATGCTTCAAACCAAAGTAATGAACTGGTGTCACTTCTTCCTCAGAACTGTAAGGACCACACAGGTGGTCCCTATTGCAATGAATGTCTTCCTGGTTTCTATGGTGATCCCACTCGAGGGACCTCTGAAGATTGTCAGCCCTGTGCCTGTCCACTCAACATCCCATCAAATAAGTAAGTACCAGGTTGACCTCACTTCAGAGCTTCATTTCCACTTCTACGGGTGCACGTTTGATATCAGAAAGATACGTTTGTAACTTTCTCAAGGCGGTGACGAAAGTGCTGAAATGGGAAGTAATTTGAATTGTGACCATCTCAAAGGATTTTGCTATTTGGGCTCTAGATTTGATTTAGAACTTAGACAAAACTCACATGAAATTTTGAAATTAATTCCAAACAAAAGAATTTTGTACTTTGTACAGATATATACTCCTCATAAATAATCATTTCCTGTAATATATCTTTATGTTACAGATAGTTTAGTACACTTGATCCATGGCATCATTGTGTCCTAAATGAGTATTGAACTATGGATGATTGCTGTATTATCCTGCATAAACAATATAGATTTTGAAAATGTATATTATAAACTTTATTTAATTTCTATCCATTTTTCTCATTTATTCACCTATATAAATGATCTATTGGAGCAGACATTTTAGAAAGAAAGAGACAATATGCAGCTTTGCTTAGTCTCTTTATGCGACTACTATATTTCACTTGCTTGAAGGGCACATTCCCAAAACACAGACAGGTCTAAATGAACAGGTCCTAAAACAGCCACAATGACAAAAACAAAATACTGCTATGCTGTACACCACACTGCAAATAAATTAATAATTGTCATAATGAATATTTGTAGATAAGTGTCATTTTATTTCTTTATGGTTGTCATTTCTGACGCAGCAAATTCAACCCAGGACCTTGAGCATGCTGATGGACCACATGCAAGACCATTGAGCTACAATCCTATTTGTAATTAAATTCAAATAAAATGAATTCCTTTTTCGATTTTTGAAATTCCTCTTAAAGGCAAATTTGATGCTTAATAAAACTCTTGCTGTAGCGTATTCCTTCAGCTCTTTCCCATAACTGTCAGAATACCACGGACCAGAAATTGTAAATTCTCTTCAGGGAGAGCTGTCAACTGCAGCCTTTTATCATGAGAATTTGATCAATAGGGCACACTCTAAAGCCTTAACCAAGAAGACCCTGTTCTGTGTGGTCATCTGTTAGATATATTGAATAATATTCCAAGTGAAAACTCTGAAGAGAATTCTGCCATTCTTTAAGTCCTCTGGGGAACTGTGGTTCCTGCTATTCACATTGGTGGGATCTTCCCCCTCCTCTCCAAGCACACTTTTCAGAATTTGCTGTTGACAAGAGAGGGCAAGCTACTGTGTAGTGAAGGCAGACTATCAGAGCAAGACGTAGATCCAATCTCTGTATTTCGGTGTTCCATCTTAAAGTATAACCCTGTAAGGTAGGTAGTATTGCTTTCATTTTATAAATGAATACATGAAGTTTCTGAAAAGATGGCATTTTTATGTCACATCTAAAGCCAGAATTCTTTGGCTTCCTTCTAACTGCATACCTCAAGATGTAAAACTTTGAGCAGGTTACCAAAATGCCACTCAGCTCACCGACTTGACCCTCTTGTGGAGCTGTGTGTGAATTGCACAATTAAACCATGTTGAGCACTTAAAATAGTGTATGATATAGGGAACAGAGAACTGATTTAAAGTAAACTGTTCAGAGTCATAATCTCAGTTATCCCATTGGAATTTGAAGTCACTTAATGTCCCTACTATTTCCAGTCCTCGACAGTACATGTTAAAGAACTTTTTAAGAAAGTAAAATCTATATTTTAAGTGAGAACAATAAAAACAACTCATTGATCTGCCTGGTAAGTTAGGTTCCATAGAGAAACACTGAAAAGAAAGGACGTACTGGTTTAATGTATTTTAATGATCATGCATTTCTAGAGTTCAGGGAGAGTGAATCAAGAGTGGTACAGAACTGAAGAACCTTTAATCACTAAAGGTGTCAGAGAAAAGTCAGAAGGAAACTGGAAAGCAAAGACTGTAAAGGAAATTGCACCCTAAGTAATGGCTACTCAGGCCCGTACTGCATGTAGTAGGCCTTTGTGGACATATGTGACACTGTCAGCTGCACATTTTAAAGGTTCACTACATGTTCACTGTGGCTGAATGTATTGTCTAAGCCATCTACCTATACATAAAAATAATTATTCCACATCAGTCTTTACTAACAAAATCAGGCAGGTGGCACCTGAGTTTTTCTTACATCTCCTAAGCCCAAAGATTGTCAGGATTTGTATGGCTCTCAGTTCAGCAACACTGGTCATTCATTTTGTCTTGTGAACCTTAGCCCAGTATACTTTACAAGATAGAAATATTTGAATGGATAAACATTATGGATTTCCTCTCAAGTCTGAACAATTTTGTGCATAAGAGTCATTCGGAAGAGAAGTTGCTTGCTGTTTACTGGCATTCATGACCCATGATCCCTTCATGTTCTCTGTGTGTTCGTTTTTATAATGGCTTCTAATTGTTTCTTCCGGGTAAAACTCACTCAGCAGACATTAAAAATCCACTCATGCTGCCAAAGGGATTGAAATCTCAGTATCTAATAACTGTATTTCCTAAAGCAAACACATTCTAGTTTGGTTTAATTAGGCTGATCATGTTTTCTAAAAAATAAAATAATAAATATAATATAATAAATACAATAAATGTATAATACATAATAAAATAATTATAATATATTAACATCAATAATAAATGTAGAATTGAATAAATTTTAAGATAATTTATTAAACTAAATATTTATTTGTAAAATAATAATTTTATTTCTAATAGAAAATTTGTGGAGAGAGAGAGGCTGCCTATTTTAAACTACTGATTTAATCGTGGTATTTTTGTAAGGAGAAAAATAAGAATTACTAATACTCGACATAGTTTATAAATCATAGAAGTTTTTTAATTTATATATTCTTTTAAAATTTAAAACAATTTACAAAATAATTACAGTTTAGGTGCACATCCATGTTGGGGAAAGATTATCTTTATCTAATGACCTAAATATTTTCGACAAAGCGATTCCGTAGGTGTAGGCACTTGATGAAGGAAAGCTTCTTTATGTATGATGATTTAAAAAACCTCAAGAAAAACTTTACTGTTGTGATCTGAGCAGGTGCTTGGAGGTGTAATTGAATATTCACATTTAATTTATAAGATGAGATTTGAATTTCAACAGGTTATTCAGAAATAATCAAAAAGAGCTAAAGGTTGCTGCAACCTCCGTCTGAAGTGCAGCCCTAGTGATAGTTTTATCTTAGTGATTTATCTCTTAATCCCTGGTCATAAATCTTAGAAATCACAGGCATTTTGGCACCAAATTTCTTAGATAATATTGCTAAATAAATCAAATGTGAGGGAGATAAAAACAGATTGGTATGATTATTAGAATATATGGATACAGATGAGCATATAATATTTAAATTATAAATATAGATCACCTTCAACAGCAATTTAGAATGTGCACTGTTCTTTTCATCTTAGTGATGCATATATTTTAGCTATAGATACTAACTAAAGCAATGAAATTTCCTTCCAGAGAAAGTATCAATATTTCAATTTATATTCATTAACTTTTGGTTACACAGCTAATAGTTTAAAGGCAAAAATCCACTCATATTTTTGCTTGAACACTTAGGTTGTAAAAAGAAATAGATGCTATCATTGAAGACTTTTGAAATTTCCCTCAGTTACTTCATGTGTGTGAAGGTATAGTCAGAGTGAACAGGGTGTTGGTCCTTGATAAGTCCTATGTACTACTGTCTTAACATTACTTGGTAGGTATCAGGAATACTAAGAGCTATGTTAATAAAACAGTGTAACATTTCTAGAGCTGATTTTAGGGATCACACACACATAAGGTTATGCTGGGCTGGGGAAATGGCTCAATCAATAAAATACTTGCCATACAAGTACAATGACAAGAGTTTAAAGCCCCTGTGTCTATATAAAAGTTGGCTAAGCATGGCAGAGATCTATATTCTCAGAAATTAGGAAGTAGAGATAGGTTATCTAAAGAGCAAGTTAGCTAGAAAAACTAGCTAAAATTGTTGAACTCCAGATTTAGAGAGAGACAGACCCTCACTCAATATATAAGTAGATATTAATCTAGTAAGATAACCAGCCTCAGTTTCAGGCCATCAAGAATCGGCACACACATACATGTGCAGCCCCATACACCTGTGCATACATAAATACCAAAGCACATACACACATGGACACTGCACATGTATACACACACACACACATACAGTAACATTGAATTATCAAAATTGGTAGTAATAATTGGGAAACATTTTTGGACAAGCTATTCCTCTATATTCTATGACAATTTAACATTAATTATAGCAAAGCTAATTACAGCTGTACATGTAAATTCATAGTTACACATAAATAGATTTACATATATATTCATGTTGTACTGTAATTGTACATATGAGCTTATGTATGCACACACACACTTACTTATAAATAAGTCTTTATACATGTAATAATGAATGCTTGGCTATCAAGAATGGCTGTACAGTCCATCCCAGCAGCAACTTGCCCTTCCCCTCATGTTTGCTCTTGGCTCACCCAATGTTTGGTGTCCTGGGTTGGAAAATCTAGGAAGCAGGACTTTTTTTTTTTCTATTGGTAAAGAGTGAGCCAACTAGAGTTGAATGGCATAATATTGGAATCACTTGAAATCAGTGATCTTTCCCTCTTTGTGTCCCAGAGCAATTAGCTTCACATTTGGGCCAGAATCAGTTTGGAGATGCCTCCTCTGCCAGTACATTCTCAAGGCATCATTACTATGCGCATTAGTGTCTCATTGTAATTGTATTTATTGTTGGTTGTTACCTTCTTCTCTAACTGCTACTACAATTACCCTAGAGAAGAAACAGTTAGCATTATTTACAAATATGAAAGTATACGTAGAGGGATATTTTAAGAAGTGATTTTATTTGAATACACTGTAGCGAGCATTTTTATTACTGGGAGCTTAAACTCATGCATTCTCACCAGCAGTTTTGAATGTCAGCTGGTTATAGGGAGAGGAGAGGATCAAATGAAGACCCTGAAGTCATGAATCTCATGTAAATTCTCCTGGAAATTAGTGTATGACCTTGAGGAAGAAAAATTAAGTTTGTCTCAGCCAGCCTATAGGAATCTGTTAAAATGCAGTACAATTATGATAAAAGTACTCTGAAATGTAAGAGCTCGTCCTATTGAATAAATTGTTACTGCTTAATATTTTTCTGAAAAAGTATTGTTCTCTGTCAGTGAGCTCAGTTGACTTTATTGCTGTTAGTTTTAACCAGCAAGGGAGTATTTTTTTTAAGAATTTTAAGGTTTATTTTAGAAATAGTTTTAAGGTGTCGGGAGCTTGTCAGCCACATTGGCATGTCTTTATGGTAAACTGATTTAGAATGTTAAAAAATAATTCACTTGGTTTTCATTCAGTCACTATAGTCCAACAAGGTTGGCAGACTCAGTCTTCCCCTTGGGGTCCCTTTCTCCATAAAGGTGAGGCAGTTGCAGAATAACAACTTTGGAAGAATACACATGTACAAAATAGTGAGTTGTCATAATCCAGTTCCTTCTTTCAGTTTTGCAAGCAATAACAAAGACATGAAGTGGGGTCAATTGGATTTCCATTTGTTTGTTTTAATATATACCAAGACCTCACACATGTGAACCCTCTTGTTTTGAGCACTCCTCTAACAAGAGATTCCTTTCTTAGACCACAAGCTAGGTTACCACAGCATCCATCAGAACCTCTGCACATGGGCAATGTTTATAAATTCAAGGTTTTCTTGGCTCTACTTTCTCTCTGATCTCAGAGATTCATTTGGCTTTACAATGAGTTGAAATAGATAGTCTGGAGGGTCTAATGGATCATTATAACTTGGTACTATAGAGAAACAAGAACTGTTGAAGCATTGCAGGACCATTTAGAGTTATACCAGAGGGAGGTTACTTTTAAATGGTAGTCAAAATCCGATTGACATCAAAGTTGGAAAAATATTCCCGAGTCACGCCAAGTATCAGAAACAGAGACAAGGGCCCACCATGTTTAAGTTATTGTGATCTTTTTAACTATTTGGCTTTCAAGCAAGCCTTTACTAAATTGTTTTGTATTATAGAATAGAAAATATTATAGGGAAAACATAATGAGAGTAAGAATAATGTGGACAGTTACCTTTAAAATGGTAGAATGATGTGGAGTCTAGAACAATTGATCTCACAGAGATCATTCTTATAAGAGGCTAGAAGAGTAATGGGAAGCAGTGGAGTAGTGAAAGGCTGATGAAGAGATATGAATTGGCACCAAGAGTTCCTCACATGATATTATATAATGGGTCTGTAAGTAAGAAAAACATATACATTTCAGAAATCTGAAACATGGGCCTCTGAAAAATTTTAACATAAAGAAATGAAAGATGTGTTAAAAGATTCATTTAATGTGATTTAACTACGTACAGGGAATATCACAAAAATATTATATAGCACCCATATATCTAGTTATATTATTAAATATAAAATATAAAAATATAAAATTGTCTTACATATAATTCTATATATCTAATAAAAATAAATTTCTAAAGCAAACAGTGTAACACAGAACTCAGAATAGCTGAGGGTTGGCTGAGTAGGAGAGCCAGAAGACAGTTACATTGAGTCAGATGTTGCAGGAGAGGTGTTTCTTGTCAGGTCAAAGGAGTGGCACAAATGCTGAACAGGATGCAAAGGGCTGATGCTGTCATATAATGTGCTGGTTTTCTCACTCGATGTCACACTCTGTCTCTTCAGCCCCAAACTGGAGCTGTGTCTAAAAACAGGTAAAGTTTGGAACATGCTGGGAGATGTGAAATAACAAAGCTGGTTCAGTTTAACTTATAGAATTGTAAGTCAAGCAGAATGTACGCAGTAGGTATTTGCTGAAAGATTCTCTAAGGATTTCACCCATGTGTCCGCATGCCTGTGAGTGCACATACACAGCAACCTGCGTGGAGGCATGCCCTATGGCAGCTGGCCCAGGCAGTGAAACCCATCCTGCCATGCTGACTCCACTGCTGTCTAAACGTCTCTCAGATTTCTCCATGCCATTTCAAATTCTGAAGCGTCGCTTGGAGAGAAAAGATGTGAAAGTCAGTTTCATCAGCTGCAGTGCGTCCACTCTTTGTCCTTGGTGATCTCAGAGCCAGAGCAGTCAAAAGTCAGTTAATAACATGTCACAGGGACACTGCTCTCCACTGGCTATAGTTGTAGCTGTCAAAATAGCAATGCCATTTCATCCTCCGTTGGCCAGGTCCTAATTTCTGCCTGGGAGATGAGAAAGGCCAGCTTGTACCCTTTGGTCACAGCAGAGGTAGAGAGAGATGAGGATCCACTGCTAATGATCTCACGTATGCTTCTTCCTGTCTCCCAAACATCACCACAGCTTTAGTCCAACGTGCCATTTAGACCGGAGTCTGGGATTGATCTGTGATGAATGTCCTGTTGGGTACACAGGACCGCGCTGTGAGAGGTAAGCACGTACCACATTGCCCTGTGGCAATGATTTCTACCTTGGGAGTTATAAAGTCTCCAGCAAGATCTTCCCCTGCTCCAGAAAAGCTGCTGTGCTCAGTGGGGTAAAATAAACTTCCTTATCACACTTGCCCACAAATGCATTCTATTTTGATAGTTTATTTATTCTCTGAAAATTGGTCTATAAATCTCCATTCATTCCAAGGCTATCTGATTAATGTTTTAATCTTAAAGGTTAAGCATTAACCTACACTGTTTTCTAAGAAAGTGTTGCTCAAGTGGAAAGCCGTCATTTTAAGATTTATCTTACTGTCTACGCTTGGCACCATTTATTTTTCATAATTAGCTTTTTTGTCCTTAAAATGTGGCTTAAATTCTTAGTTCATAGTTCAGCAAGTGGCCTATAATTTACTGTAAATATATTTGAAACAAGGCAAAGTATAATTTATTATCATGACTTATATCTTCTTCTAATCATTCTTAAACTGGTATCCTAATTCCTGTTGAGTGTCTGGGCAGCAGGAGCATAGATATTATTTTAGACAATTTCCATAATCATATTTCTTCCTTAAGTATATTTTAAGAACTATTTCTTGTGTGATTCACTCCCAATTTAAAAGTGATGCAAGTTAGTTCCTTAAAGATGTAGGCAAACAGAACACCAGTCTCCCTGTTTTTAATGCTGAAAAGTCGTCTCCCCGGTGACCATTGCTGTGGATATGGGTGAGGCAGAGAAAAAAAGCCAGACCATGAATATGGCTTGCCTTCTCTCCTCTTCAACAAGGCTATCCATCAGGAGATCTATTTCTGCCCATCTTTTCCTGCCGTCTTGGCAGCCATCACCTGTTCAAACCTTCACCCAGGGAGAATTTGGCCAGCAGCAAGTAGTCTACATACATCATGCCAGCAGCAGTAAGTCCTGCTTGTGATTGTGGCAACATCTGTAAATGAGGAAGTGGAGAATAGACCTGAAATAAGAGGGATGTATTTGCTGTTGAGAAATCAAACGTCTTTAATTGTGTTTTTCATAAAAAAGAAAAGCCTGTGTATAGATGACATTCTAATAGAACAACATGCCATCGCTTAGACAGATTTACATCAACGTATAGTATCCCCCAGCTCACTACAGGCAGTCTTTTTTTAGTAACTGGAAAATGACAGCTGCTTTGTCATACAAGGCTATTAAATCTGCTTATCTGGGTAAGCGTGGTCTCTGATGTATTTATATTGCTCTGCTTCGTGCACTGTCTTTTCTAGACATTAGATAGTGTCTGAGACACCTGCAATTTAACAAGTTACATTTTTATTCAACAAATATTTATTTTTTAAGTACCATATTAGGTACGAGGTAAAATATTGACTACAAACAGATGTGCCTCTCCATCTTTGCCCTCAAGTAGCTCACCACCTTCTTGGGTAAGAATAGTCACGTTTGTTCTCGGGAGAATTCTAAGTGATGATGAAAATCAGCAAGAAAAGAAAGAGCTGACAGAAAGCATGATGCCTTGTCTAAAAGCTGTATTAATCAGATTCAAAAGAGGGTGAAATCCATGCACTCTGTAGCAAATGGTACATCTTATTTCCAATTTAAACGTCATCCAAAAATAATCTACTAGTATTATTCAAGAGGTGATGAGATATTATATTTTCGTAGTCAGAATTTGGGTTAAGGTTTTCCTTGAACACTTGAGATTTGCCATTTCAGAGTATTTTTATGAGTCAAAAAAACCCATCAGATGGATCAGAAATACTAATAGAAATATTTTTGAAATATATTTGTAGATATTGAAGGGAAAGATAACAAAAGTCAGGCTTAGAAAGCTATTGGTTACATTGTGTATCTTGTAATCAAACCATTCTGTGAAAGCCTTGTGTGAACCCTGTATGCACAACATGACAAAAACCAACTGACATGGAGTCTTCCCCAGTCACTGTTCCTGTCGTTAGGACTTCCATCGTCACTTTAGTTCAGGAGATATCCATACACATGGCAAGTGTTCTAACTTTCCCTTTAGTGCACAGTGAGGAAACTCGGTCAACTTGGTTGGCTCAGCATTGACTATGTATATGCAGCCTCAATCCCCTGCTTTTATTTTATGATATGAATGTGTCAGGAAGACATAGATTAGAACTTGTATTCTCTATCTCAGTACATTTTCTTCCCGAGACTCCAGTCTTCTATGGTAGTGGTGATGACTAAGATGCATGGGCTACCCTATTAGGCTTTTTCTCCCATCCCCTGTGGAAGCCATCTTGAATTAAAGTTCTAACCAGTTATGGCGTTCAAGGTGTTTGTGTGAATGTGTGTGCGGTAGGTGAGTGTCTGTGGTTATGAGTGTTTCCCAAAAAATGAACACCTAGTGTGGCTGACTAGTCCTGAACAATTCATTCAAATCTATTCCAGATGACCTCTTCCTTCCCCTGGTCCTCACAGTTAGCTTTCCCTTTAGGTATTTCTACTAACTGTCTCCCTTTTCCTTCCCACTCTTAGAGGAATAACTCTTCAGGAACCATTCAACTTCTTTCAGCCTAACGCTAGGAACTGACAGTCTGTATCTTCATTTGTTACTTTCAGACTTCTTTTAAGTGATGCACATTGTTTATTCCCTGAAATTTTACCCAATATAATTTAATCATATTCATGCATCTTCCTCAGTCATTTCCAGAACATTTTCAACGTCTGTACTTGCCCAACTTCACCCCTCCCACCTTTAAAGAAAAAAAATGGACACATAAGAACAAGCAAACAGAAGAAACCCCAAGCACAGAGTACAGTTGCTTTGGATGACTACTTCTTAAATGTAGTTAATACACAACGTGTCTCTCCTTTGTAGAAAACCAGCTTTCCTCGTCCAGTAGCAATCAAATGCCAATAGTCCCTTAACTAGGGCAGGACTTGAACTCATTCCCACCTCTCCTCCTCTCTCCCAAGGAATCATTTCAATTTTGAGGTTTTATGCAAGACTAACAAGAAGTGAAAAGCTAATAGAAACCACAAGCCAAGTCTAGGATTCCCCGCATTCCTGTTTTCTTACTTGCCAAATTAGTTTACTGGGGATTATATAGTACAGGATGAATTTGAACCGTGATTTGAGGGAATGCAAAACACAAGCAAAGTGGCCAACAAAGCTGGAGAAGGGAATGTCCATTGTAAATACAATGAATTATCAAAATATGAATGATATTCTTTGAGATGCCAAGGGCTAGTTGTAGCTTACAAACACTCATGAAGCTTCATTGTTGAGGAAGAGTTTCACAGAGGAAATAGAGTTAGGCTATTGAGAAGAGAAGACATTTATCATGATACTTCATTAAGATTCCAGGTTTTCTATATTCAGAAAAGTAGAGAAATAGTCTTGTGACAGGCTTGAAGAGATTGAGTGAACATTGGACTATAAAGAAGAATTAAAATAAAGAACACAAAGCTAATTAACTGCCAGTGGCACTTAATCAGGTACCAAGTGACTTTCGGCCTCTCTAGCTTCAATAACATATCACACAACATAGAGACACAGAAACATACCATGACACGTTACCTAGGAGAATTCTGTGGGAACAGGTAAAACAGTACAAGTGTGGAGTCCTTAAACCCCTCTCCTCCCCAGCTGGCAAATACAAAGAACTCATTAGCTGGAAAGAGAGACGCCCAAAGGCTACCTACAGGTAACCACTGGAAACATGGAAGGCAACTGACTCCAAAGGCTTAACATTTTGAAAACTGACCACATTTTAATTTAAATTTTAAATTAAATTTAAGTTTAGCTTCTATTTAAAATTTTTAAATTTACAATTCACCAAATTTTAACTACAAGAGTCACATTAGCTATAAATGGAGTCCCCTTTCCTTTTATTTCACCTCAAAAAAACCATTTAGATCATCTGTAATTCAGAGAGGTCTTAATCCGGCTCAAGTACTCTCAATTACAAGGCTGCAGGCATTTTCTGCCCAAGTCTCAGTGTTCAGTCCTTAGGCCTTGGCTGCAGAGAGACCCTTATTCCTCCTTAATAATTCTGTCACAATCAAAATTGTGACAGCTGCGATTCTTAGAAGTTACTCGCATGTGATTGTGCACTCGGAGGAGGGAGTGATTGGCTCTTGTATGTACCACCAGATTTTGTGCCCCAAACTGCTCCTTGCCAGGGCAGCCTCGGTGCTGTGCTCAGGTGTCCAGCTGGAGCTGCTGCCTCTGCACTGCTTGAGGCTTGGCAAAGGCACCAGCGCCAGCCAGCCTAGCATTAAGCTGAATGGCAAGTAGTGAGAATATAGCACCACAGCCCAGGCAAATTCATTAGGCTATAGGCTCCTCCCCTGCGGACGGAGTTCTCTCTGTAAGATAATTACAATCCTCCCACCTTTGAACCGGTCACTAGCACCTGTTCTATAACTGACATTCATCTCCACATCCTGAGAAGGTCTTTGATGATTCTGTACTTTGATTCTAACCCTCAATGCATCTCTAGTTGTTCTGTGGTAAGATTTTTACAGGTATATTTCTTGGGCCTATGCTCTGTTGATTTCTCTCTTTCTCTATTTAATTTTTTAAAAGAAGGTTGAGGATGGTAAATTAGGTCAAAGAGGAGACAAAGGTAACATCAGTCCTGCTTTATTTTTTTCTATTATCCTTGGTCTCTACTTGACCTTCATTCATATTTCCCCTCTCATAATAAATTATATTCTTCCCAAACTATCAGCTACAGAACTGTTATATAGCCTAATGTCATATTTACATTTGAAGGTTCTTTTGTCAAACAGTTATAATTTGACTTGAGAAATTACAAATATGAAAAGGAAAAGTCAATATGTCCCCATATTTAGCAAAGAACCCTAGAAACTGTCTTTCACTATCTTCATTCTGCCAGAGATTTTACATTGTAGTTAGTTTTGGTAAAGAGAAAATCCGGGAGGCAGGGAAAACTTACCGGGCTATAATATTTACTAAATTTAATTAGGTGATACAAAAAGAATAAAAGTAATTGTTGTAATTAATACTAGAACTATAGCATGATGTTCTCTACCAACAGGAGACTTCTTAATTCCTAATGGAACCACTTTAGTTCGTTTTAAAGTCAAGTACACCACACATACATCAGTAGTAAACACCAACTGATTAAAAGGTTAAGAGGTTGTTTACCTGTGACTGTGTACTTGGAAGAGAGCATAATCTCTCTTCAATCATGCAGTATATTAATTGTCATGTATAGACACACATGTTCCTGATCTATACACTGAAATAAAAGTGTTAGGTTCCTGTTTAGTTATTCTATGTAATTATATTTTCTGCATGTATATAATAAGTCCTGGGAGAATATGGGATTTGTTTATTGCTACATTTGCTAAGAAAATGTCTAATACTTCATTGCATAATTCCTTATCTCCTGAGGTCAATAAGACATTTTGAAAGAAAAAAAAATTAAGTAGCAGGTTTTTGTTGATTTTGATAATTATTGGTGTACAACTATTAGTGTAAGTGGCCAAAGGCAACTGTAAGAGAAGCGAAATGGGGTGTGATAATATGTGGATATCTATACAATATCCAAAGATCAAATAGGGTAAAGTCAGGTTAAAATTTAAAGTTATCTTCTTATTTATTCCAAAAAAAATCCCCAGAAGGAATTGTGAAAAAATTTCATATACTGCAATCCTATTTCATGGTCTATAATACAGAATTAATAAATAATTATTGGCAATAATAATTAGTAGCAGTATTCTTCTAATCTCTGAATATAAAGCTTTCATAATTTTACAAACCATGTATTGGATATAATTAAAACACCTTTTAAAAGACTGTGATAAAACCTGAAGCCTGCAACACTGTATTCCTATGTATAAAGCTTCTATAAAACTTTAAATGATGAATGTATCTGTACCAAATAACAACTGTGACCTAATAATGTTATTAGTGTATTCTCCTGTCTCATACTGTCGTCAAACCACCTGTGTTTCACATAGCAGAGCATTTCTTTATAAGATACAACCATATCTGTGCAGAAGGGCATAAGCACTTGCACGCCATGAAATTAGTTATGGTCTCCTACAGTGTTCATGTTTCCTCTCAGTCTTGACCCTTGCTGCAAAGTATTTTATTTAATAAGATGCCACAGATTACAGAGGTAGAGTGGTCACCACCTTCTAATGCTCTTTCATTTCATCTCTCATACAAGCATGAGAAAATGTAACTGAGGGGACCAAACCAAATAGAAATAGGTGATCTCGGCAAAGAGCAGCATTTTAAAACACGTATATCAGGGAGGGAAAGGGTAGCATAACTCATAAGTGGTTTCTATGCCACAGTTTATAAATGATAAACTTAGGTGTTTTTTCATATAAATGTACAGTTTGGGGTTGGTTTAATTTTTATGAAAACCTAGAATACTGATGTAAATTTGGGTCACAGGTCAGCACCATCCTACAGCACACTATCGTAATAGAAAGTCATTACTACTTAGACTTCTCCTGAATGAATATTCTTCATTGAAAAATAGCCTCTTAATCAATATATAAATGTATACAAATATTTATTAATTCAGAAATACTCAAGAGCTCCTATAGAAGTAACCATAATATTTTCTGAGCCACAATATTTTTTTCAATAAATGTTGGACTTGCATTTGATTCCTCATAATAAGCTCTTCCTGTAGGAACAACAGCAACAAAAATATGAACCTTATATATCTGGACAGAAAACAGCCAATTGGAGTAGGAGACATATGATGTGTTATATTATAAAAGCTTTGCAGTGTGAACTTAGATTCCTTCATAATACCAGCCACAGATTTCTCATTATGCCTTGAATGCATCTTCAATGTCAGTGACAAAATTTTATTTTATTTTTTTGCTGAAATCTAATTATGAGTGGAGTTGGCAGATTTCATCTTGTATCTATAGCACAGTTACAGAAAAGCATTTTTTTAATCACTCTGCATTTGAGAAAAGGAACGCTTAGGAGGAAAATCCATTATCCTGGCAGAGGAATATGAAAGCTATGTAAACAATGAGTGGGGTGGATTTCTTGAGCTCCCCTACCCCACACACATACTAAAATATCACTGTTGGAAATTATTACCTTAGGTGTGCAGAAGGCTATTTTGGACAACCTTCCGTACCTGGAGGATCATGTCAGCCATGCCAATGCAATGACAACCTTGACTTCTCCATCCCTGGCAGCTGTGACAGCTTGTCTGGCTCCTGTCTGATATGTAAGCCAGGTACAACAGGCCGGTACTGTGAGCTCTGTGCTGATGGATATTTTGGAGACGCAGTTGATGCAAAGAACTGTCAACGTAAGTCTTGAACTATTGATGTCCCTGACAGAATTGATATATGATACCCCAAAGAAGCTGATGAGTTCTTGAGTGGGCATTGGAGACTAGGAAATTATCTGTGATACATGGATGATGAATGCCCAGTGAAGACATAAAGTCTGCATGTTCCAAAATATTTCTTTGTAGTGATGAACAGAATAAACCACTTAAAATGTATTATATTGTTAAATGTTGATTTTCAAGTTATATACATATTTATGCAATGAAATTTTTAAAATGTAACAGAAAATAATTTGGAAATGATAAAGGTCTATTTGGCCTTTTTCATTAATATCAACTTCATTGTTTGGTTGAAATTAATCCACTTGTCCGTATTATTACATGTTACCTAACAGTGGGTATGAATTGGTTTTGCTTTCATATGAAGACTTTACAGAAATACAGATTTTGTACTTCATAACTAGTATAAGAACATGACAATGATTTTACATACTGGCATCTGATAGTTGAGTGATTAATTCTCATGCCAGAATTATTTGTAGAATACTAGTCAAAGGCTTGAGGCAGTTTGGTACAACACATTTCTCCTCTAATCTTTTCCTCCTTAGCCATACAACACAGTTTTACATGGAATTGTATCTTACATTACAATTACTTTATAACAACACCATATGCAAAAGAGAATTAATTCCAACAGTATGAATCCACATCAGCGTTTTAGATCTTACTGGCACCTATCTACTTCACTGATACAGTATTCAGGAAGAGAGCTATAAGACCAACACCAGTTCTTTTCTACTGAATTAATGTAAGCAGAGAGTCATGCTGAGGTGGGTCCCAGGACATAGGGAATTGCAGACACCACAGGAAACCCTGCCTGTTATCTCTCCTGTAAACAGCAGTGATCTTATTTCAGGAAGGGATGTTTTTCTCCTAAACTGAGAAGCTGGTTGTGGGCTTTTTGTCCTTTCAGAATGGTTATTTGTTAAGTCAAAACAAATCACTCTCTGGAGTAACTGGCATTTGTTAAAATCACAGACTGACTTTCTAAACAAAATTTCCCACAAGACCAGAGTGACTTTAAACACTGTGGAATTTGGCCTTTCTGTGAAATATCAGGAAACGCAAAAATGTCTTATGTTCATGTGGGCTACCTGGGAAATTCAGACTCAGATATGGGACTCTAGGAATGGTATCCTCATATCCAAAGGATCATAAGTTTTCCGTGGGGATCATTGGGTGTAGCACAGGCAGGGGATGTGGTAATCTGTTGATGATGGAGATAACTGCCATGGTTGGTCTTTGGAGGTGGCCCCTGTGGTAGCTGTGAATATTGGAGTTCACTAATGCTAGATCTAAGTATACATTTCGTGACTTCTTTTTATATCTTCTAATAACTCCATCCACAAAGCTAAGGACATTCCACTTATTTTATTATGATCTGTAAATGAAGTCCTAGGAGTACAGAGAAAAATATGAGAAGAGCAGCAACCAAAATAAATTTTGAATCGTCATCAGTTTATGTACCACTTGCCATAAAGCTTAGATCTGGTTATGATTTTTAAGGCTCTTCAGCATATAATTTGATTTAAAGTCTATAAAATGTTATGGTGAATATTTGTATACTTCCAGGATTATAATATCTCTTCTATGCATAGAGAATAAGTCCTCATCCAAAGCAAGTTCATAATTTGTGGTGCTAAGCATTATAATCAGAGTATTCATGAGACAGAGGCAGGAGGATCACAGGGAACTAGGGCAGCCTTGACTACATAATGGGACCATCTTAAAGAACACACACACACACACACACACACACACACACAAATTTCTGAATAAAACAGTACTTTATTTTTGTAAAGATAATTTTCATGAATATCTCACTAGTATATGAAATATCTTTAAATATTTGTCCTATTTCTGTATAGATACAAACAAAATCTATTGCCTTTGTTATTTTTAGATGACATTAATCAGCTACCACCATCTTTACAGTAAATTCAACTTTGTAGGTCCTTTTTTTAAAAGAGGGAGTTAGTGATTCTTAATAATTTGAAATTTACAAAGTTCATCTACTAAATAAATTTATGTAAAGCTACAATATGCAGAGCAATTCTCATATTCACACGAAAGTGAAGTTTTAATGATGATATGTTTTCTCACCTTGTTCTTCAACTCCATCTGTAGACTCCCCTTGTGTTGTTGACTGAGAAACAGGAGTAGTCATTGGCCCAGAGAGTCTCTAAGTGGCCTCGAGTTAGTAGACACTAAAGGCCAAACTTTGATGGAACAGGGTAGGGCAAATTTTAGAAAAAATGGTCAAGAGAAGTAGAACCTGGAGCCAAATGAGCAGAATAATATCAGAAGATGGCAGAGTAGTTATTTTTAATGTCTTTAAAGCTGTGCTGTTGTACCATACTTGCCAAAGCCATGGATGAATAAACCTCATGTCATCTCCCCTCACAATTTTATTCTGTTATCAGTGCAATTATGTATACCATTAAAATGTACTTGTCAAGAGCAGAGTAAGCCATTAATTGCTAGTGAAACAGAGAGGTAAAACAGCTTTTAGAGTTATTCAGTTATTATATGTTCCAGAATAACTTTATAATTTTTTTCTAATGCAAAATTGATAAAAGAGTAACTAAATCAAGTATGTTTTCTATTTTGGATATGGAATAAAATACAAAATAAATATGAATTTTAGTATTTATAGTGTTGCATTCCTAATAGATTTAAAAACATTTTTTTCTGTTCTCTTGTGTGCTTTCATAGCATACAAGGGCTATATTTTCATTTAAATCATTCTTATTGTTGAAGTTTAGTACAAAAACTGGCACATAGTAAATAAACATTATATTCAAAAATGTTTGCTAAAATGATATTAATGTTATGTTATTTAGTAGTGTAACATGCCAAGCATGTATGAGCTATGTCTACAGTATGTAGAACTGTTGCAAGGTTTACATAACAGATCGTCTGAAAGAGTCCCTGCCACTAGAAGGCATTCAAAAACTGAATTCAGGTGTTGACGTTCCCAAAAGCTACAGTTTTCTTTAACAACTCCTGTATAGATTTTCAGGACTTCAGATCTTGGATTTTCAGATTAGTGATGTTTAACCACAGAGATCTATGTAAATATTCCAAAACTTAAGGTATAGCTCATATCTGAGATGCCTCTGGTTGCAAACATTTCAGATTAAAGCTACTCGATCTGTATTTGGGATTCATGAGACCATATTTTCATTTGCCGTGTATCTTACCTTCACAGCCTGCCATTGTAACAGCAATGGCTCCTTCTCAGAGGTTTGTCACACCAGAACTGGGCAGTGTGAGTGCAGACCCAATGTGCAGGGGAGACGCTGTGATGAGTGTAAGGTAAGAACCATGCTCACCTCCTTTCAATGATGGATTCCATACACATCTTGAACAAAGGAGTCAGAATTATTTACTCCTGAAAATGGAATATCTGTGCTCAGTGAAACGATTTCTCAACTATAACAAAATTTACTGTGCATTGCATTTGACCTGTGTTCCTACATGCAAATTTGTATAATAATTGCTATAATTTAAGTATTTATTCAACAAATAATATAGATTTAATTCTAGTCTGTGGGGAGCAAAATAATTTACCTGGGGGGGGAAGGGTTAAAATGTGCAACTCCTTTTACTTCCAACCAACTCCCCAACATACACACACTTCAAGTTCTGTTATTTAAAAGTTAGTTTCAGTAGATAAACATTGGAAATAGTGAAAGTTTTCATTGTAGTTTTAGAAATATCAGGAGATTAAAATGAATTATCCCATCAATGAGAATGTTGTTTTCAGTATCTGTTTCCAGTGATAGCCCTGCCCTGTGTTGAGGTCCCCTCATGAGAGCCTGCCAGTTTTGGCTCCTTTCACATAGATACATTTTGTTATTCACTACTAGCAAGTCATTTTCAGATGTCAGACTGGCCTTTAGTAGAAAGTTTCAAAATACCCCTGCTTCTATCTCTTGAATAATACCATATGCTCAACTCTGCCTTGTTTCCTTGTTTTTCCTTCTCTTGGGTTTTAAAGCTCAGTACGTGGTGGGACTCAGCGAAGCAATTCTGTGAGCTATGTGACTGCAGTCCCCTGGGCTCTGTGTCACCACAGTGTGATATGACGGGAAGATGTATCTGTAAATCAGGCTTTGTAGGGAAACAGTGCAACCTCAGCAGGCAGGTGCACCATCCGGAGGAGCAGCCACACAGAGCGCAGCGGTTGCTGGGGTCACCTCGGATGTGGGGTTCCAGCGGTTCCAGCGGGTGCCCCAGGGGAACCTATTGGACCCCTGTGCCGGTAGGCACTGCATGGTTGTGTGGGCATGCTGGGCTGTAGCTGAAAAGGTTTGGAAACCATTTACCAAAAAACTGTGGTAACTAAATGTGCAAACTGTTTGCTAAATATGCAAACTGCAAATGCAGAAATTGTACAATGCCTTACTAAATCCTGTCTTTTAAAAATTGATGTTTTGTGCATAAGTTTCCATTAAGCATGTATGTGGGGGTTGGAGAGATGTCTTATCAGTTAAAAGCATTGACTGCTCTTCCGAGAACCCAAGTTTGAGTTCCAATAACTAGCTAAAAGTGTTTGCAACTCCCTCTTCTGGCCTCTGTAAGCACTAGGCACCAATGTGGTGCTCACACATACAAACGACTCATACATATAAAATAAAATATTTTGAAAGCATATCTGTGGACAAACCAAATAAAAATTTTGTTGAAGGGAACTCAACGTATCAAAAGTGACCCTTCTGGAGTACTAACATAAACCTGACATATCATTTTCACTAAGATTTTTCTAATTTCCACCTGTGATTCTGCTCATGTACACATCAAACACAAGAAAAACATAACCGTCTTTAAATGTGGAACATACACAAAGTGAAGAAAACTTTTCACTTTAAAATTTTTTCCTCATTGGGAGGCTCACAGCAAGCTACCTGTAGCTGTAGTTCCAGTGTATATAAATGCTTAGCATTTGTACTCATGTTGATGTACACACACAGAGACATACACACATACACACACATGCATGCACACACTTATACACCGACACATATACACACAGAGAGACACATGCAAACACTCAGAGACACAGACACACACACATACACATGCGTGCACACACATGCACAGACACACACCGAGACACATATACACACAAACAGACACATGCACACACTCAGAGATACAGACACACACACATACACATGCATGCATACACATTCACAGACATACACAGAGACACATATACACACAAACAGAAACATGCACACACTCAGAGACATACACACACACATACACATGCATGCACACACATGCACAGACACATACACACAGAGATACATATACACACAGACAGACACATACACACACTCATACAATTTAAAAATAAATCTTAACATTCCAACTAATGTGAGATACTGATTGCCACTTGTCTTGGTGGAGGCTCCAGATCTCAGTTTTGTGTGCCTCTGTTGCAGCACTATGCACAAAAGAGATGGTGGCTATAGCTATCTGAGGGGATTGTCCTGGAAGTTCACATTTGTTACAGGTGGAGAGCAGTGCTTGGCACATAGGAAGCAACATGCAACTGCTAGATTTTGTCACCACCGCAGGTAGGAGGTTCTGATGAGAGCCATCAGTGGGTTCTAAAGAGGAACTCTATGTAATCTCGGTTATAGACTAGCAGTTTGTTTCTCGACTTTATTTATTGGTGAGGTTTTCTTTGAACTTTGGAATAGATCTATTAGTACCAAATTTATTAAAATTTATTGTTTTATTAGGAAGTTTGGTAGTTTTATTTGAACAACAATATATAAATATTAGAAAAGGAATTTAACAACCGTTTATTTTATTTATTTCTTTATATAATCAGCTTTACAATTTTTAGCGACAACTGTGATTTAGAAATTCATTTTAGATTTGATTGATTTGTCCATTAAGGACTGTGCATATCTATACATACATAAGCATGTTTGCTAAATGTGGAGGGTTCAGGGAATAAAGAAAATTGTTAAATCCAGTCTTTACAAACAGGCTCAGTATATGAAAAAAGTTATAATACAGTGACTAGTTGAAAGTTTTAAAACTATAATTTGGATAGTTGAAAATTTAAGTGTAGTGGGCTCAGTGGAAAAAGTGCCTGCTATGCAAGCCTTGAGTTCCAGCCTCAAATCCACAGTGGAAGGAGAGGATCAGTCAGGAAAGTGGTTCTTCCACTCCTACATGACACATGCTCTCACTGAGAGCAAACATCATAACTCAATATTAAGAAAAATAGTACTTAAAATTCAGGTTTCTGTTTTGCTTCCAAAAAAATCAAAGCACATTATCGTTTAGACTCTTTTGGAATTCAGGTGTTTCTCTCTCTCTCTCTTTCTCTCTCTCTCTCTCTCTCTCTCTCTCTCTGTGGGTGTTTCTGTATATGTCAGTGTCTGGTGTTTATATCTGTGCATGTGTCTCTGGTGTGTATGTGCATGTGGCTGTGTGTGTGTGTATGTGCCCAAATGTATGTGTCATTGTACATAATGTAATTGGAATCACAGTCTAGATAATGTGTATGCTGCTTTTAGAATTTTTATGTGATGTTGGATTATAAATGGATTCCTATCATTAAAACTGCTTCAAAATAGATTTCACTTAGTTGCTTCTCATTTTATAGCATGAATGTACTATAATTTAATTTATTCAGTACCTTCTCTAACAGTGGAGATTTGAGTGCCACCAGAATTACATGCTATGATAAACAATCTGTAATGAGCTTGCTTGCTATTTAGTCATTGTTTTAATACCTGATAATTCCTCTGAGATTAAGGATTTTACATTGAAATATTTTTATTAATATGTTTTAATTTTACTTTATATATATAGGTGAATTTAATTTTAAAATTCTTCATTACCACTGCTTACATACTTTCTACTTTAATATGACAAAATCTGAATTACAAATAGAACTTAAAATAAGGCGAACAGTAAAAATTAACATGATTATCACATTCAATCAAGTCATTGTACATTTTAAACAATGCAACTATTCTTAGCTAGTCATATTAAGTCTAATTCTCATTATAATTTTAATTTCTCAAATTTATTTCTAATACTGCTAACAATAATATCAAAAATATAATGAAGCTTATTCATTTCTCTTCGACTGATTCCTAATAAATGGCAAGATTAATTTTTACCAAGAAGTAATTATGAAATCTAATTTTCCAAAATACAAATTATTTTGACAAAGAAGTAATTATGGGGAGTAATTTTCCAGATTAAAATGCCATAATAATGTGACATACTTTTTATTTATCAAAGAAAAGTGGTGTGCTTTAAGTATGATATGTGGTTCTCATTTTTCTAATAGTAGCGATGAGTCCTGAATTCACCAGTGTTTTTAATCATAGTTTTCCTGGGCCTGGTAACAAGCATTTCAAGGATGTCTTCACAACTGGTAATACAAGCCTGGGTGGAAGATGAATTGGTACATACAGATGTGGGACCCACAGTTTCAAACTTGGATGAACAGGCTGGCCTTGCCTTTCTAATCTGGTGCATTGATCTTTTCTCACAAACTGGCTTTAATGACTAGAATCCTGATCATTATTATTGAAAATGTCTTAACTATTCACAGGTAGTTCACAAAATCTGAAAGAAATCAATTTAGTATATTAGCAGTAAAGTGAGTAAAATATTAAATTAAAACCAGGTAGGTAATGCATAATCTATTTTACATCACTATTGGAACCAAGGAAGATTATACAAAGGCTTTTGAAACTAAGATGACAATACAGTGCCTATTTTGATAATTAATTTTGATGATATTTCTAATTAACCATACATTTCACTTTGTCAACATAGAAAATCCATTGAATGATAGACAGTTGTCAATGCCACCAGAGAGCCTGGTGACTCATGGGTTCCTCACTGCCAACTGCTCTCTAGATTCCGTACTTCTTGTTAGTATGAGTTCACTTGCTGAGATTTATATTTTCTTTTCTTTTCCACGCCAGCCTGAAACCTTTGGCCTGCAAGTGGGAAGGGGGTGTGTTCCCTGCAACTGTAATTCTTTTGGGTCGAAGTCATTTGACTGTGAGGAGAGTGGGCAGTGCTGGTGCCAGCCAGGAGTAGCAGGAAAGAAATGTGACCGTTGTGCCCATGGCTACTTCAACTTCCAAGAAGGAGGCTGTACAGGTCTGTGAATGAAACTACTGTCCTGGGCATTTTTCTTGGAGCTTATGCCACTGGTTCTTGTAACAGTTTGTTCTGTTAAAGAAAGTGCAGGCTGAAAACAAGTATGTGATGCAGAATATTTAATGTCATGAATATGCTAATTTGTAATAATTAACAAATAGAACACAGCACAGTTGGGAACGCTACCTTGTATGTAATTATGCTTGCAAGCATTGAGCAACAACCAGCAGATCCCGAGGTGATGTGCCCTTTTGTCTGTGTCCTCTATTCTCAGGAATTTTACAGCTTGAAAAATCAGATTCCAGGGTTTTGGGTGCCATTGTTGTCTTAGTTCTCCTTTCAAACTAAGAGATCTCAATTTTGCCAAACACAAAATGCACACGAGAATTAAGGGAGGTTTTTGGGGTTTTTTTTTGTTTGTTTGTATTTTGTTTTTGTCTTGATTTTTTTTTTTCTGGTAGAAAAACCATGCTTATATCAAAGTTGCCTTCGAAGATTTAAGTTCTGGGAGAGAAACAAGTTGTATCTTGATATTTATTTCATGGAAAAATGCAGGTTGTAGTTTCTAACATGATTCCTTGAAAGAGTGTTTGTCCTATGTCCAGGCAGAGAATTCACAAAAATCGTGAACTACACACACACACACACACACACACACACACACAATTAGTCACATAATTAATTAGCAGCCTAGGAGTGAAAGTAAAGAATGAAATTAGCTTTGATTTATATACCACAAATTTAGAGTTGATAGTATTCCAACAACCACAAAAATGATTTCCACCTTTGTTTACTAAGTTCTTTGACTGAGAACTCTTACCTCTGTACTGTACTCTCAGCACCATGGCAAGATTTTAAAAATGTTGTAATTGACTATTGAAGCAAATTCATGTGAGAATCAAAATAATATTGCAAAGTATTTAAGGTACCAATATCTTTCAGAGCACCTCCTGAATTCTAAGCTGATGGCTTTCATCAGAAAGAAAGTCATTTTGAGTCATTTGTGATGTGATAGAGATCTCCTAAGATCTGTGTGATCTCTAAGCTAATATCCATAAGATCTAAAAACTATAAAGAAACACTTAAAAATATTCTAATCTTTAAGTGCAATTCTCATTAATATTTAAACATGATATAAATTAATGCAAAGCTTTCTAAGTTAGGGATTCTATTGCTGTGATAAAACATGCTGACCGAAAGCAACTTGTAAAAGAAAAGGTGTATTTCAGTTTACAATACTTAAATCGCATCACCACTAAGAGAAGTCAGGACAGGAACTCAAGGCAGGAACCATGAGACAGGAAATGATGCAGAGGCCATGGAGGAGTATGACTTAGTGGTTTGATCATCATGGCTTGCTCAGCCTGCCTTCTTAAAAAACCAAGAACCTCTAGACTCCGGGTGGCAACATCCACAAGAAAGTGGGTCTATCCACTTCAGTCATCAATCAGAAAAATTCCCCACAAGCCAGTTGTTGGGGGAATTTTCTCAGTTGAGGTTTTTTTCTTCCCAAATAGTTTTAGCTTGTGTCAAATTGAAAAAAAAAAAACTCTCCAGAACAGGGTCTTTTACATATTCAATGAACTCTACTAGCAAAAGTTATTAATAAAAAGATTTAAAATTATAAAATGGTGATGACATGCCAAAATGCCAACTTAGTTGTATTGTAAATCAGAGAAACAGAATAACGAGCAGTAAAAAAAAAAAAAATAACACAGGATATGATTATAGCTGTGTATCAGTTAGTACTTTTCATGTCTCTGACAAAATGGCTGACAATGGGAACTTAAGAAGGGCTTTTTGGGTGCATAGCTTGAGTTTATATTCTAACATCATGAAGTGGACATGGTGTTAGAATTATAAAACAAGCTGGTTCACATTCTGTCTACAGTACAGGAGAAGAGAAATGAATGATGGTAGTCATCTTGCTGTCTGTTTCTCTTTATATTCCACAGAAGTCTTTACAAATTAAGAGTATTCCTCATGCTCTGTGTTTCCCCCTGCTAGGTGGCTTACCTACAGGTTACCCTAATAGGTTCCTAGGAGTTTCCATTGTTCTAGGCTTTTGGGGCATCCCAGATATGCTCTAATTTCAGTTATCTTTCCTGGTACTCTCTCCCTCCATTCTTCCCCTACCTAATCCCTCCTTTTCCCATGCCCACCCCCTTTCAGAGCCCTCCCCAACCCTCCTGTGTGTCTCTTCTATTTCCCCTTCACAGTGAGATTCATGTGTTCCCCCTAGAGGCTTTTTTGTTATTTAGCTTCGTTGGGTCTATGGATTGTAGCATCTTTATTCTTACCTTATACCCACCTATAAGTGAGTACATGTGATGTTTATCTTTCTGGATCTGGGCTACCTCACTCAGGATGACCTTTTCATAGCCTGAATCAGCTATTTTCTACAACCAGGCAATGTTTCCAATGGAGGGAATAGGACTGCCACCTAGCCACATAACCTATGCCCCACAATTAGGCCTACCTACAAAATGTTCTAGAGTAAAGGTGGTGCAGAAATTATGGGAGTGGCCAACCAACTACTGGTCCAGACTGAGATACATATCATGAGAAGGACCCCACCTTTGACACTGCCTGGTGGGACAGAACAGAGACAGGATAGAACCGAACATGAGTGGGGAAAAAAAGTCAATGAAATAATTCCCAATGATATTCTTCAATACTCATAGATTGTTCCCTACCCCTGTCGTGAATTAGCTTGATACAACTATATACAATAGGAACAGATACCAAATATAAAATTACAAACAAAAAACAATATTAAGCAAGAAATGCATAACAAAAGTTTTACCAAACATTCTATATCAAGGAGTTTAAATCTTACATTGAAATTAAGCTTGGCTAAATCATGAGGAAGGTAACTACAACTATCTAATCTTCAACCCCATCGAAGATTTGAGAAGGAAAACAATATACTTGAGTAAACAGGAAGTCCAATTGAACAACCTCCAAAATGTACATCAAATGACAGAGACAACTGGCTACCTGGGCAATCATCCAAAGTCTCATTTGCCATGTTGAAGCAACCAACTTTGGCTAAGGCCTAATGTAACTGACATACCATCTTCAAAAGCAAGAAACTTTTCAAAATCATCTTACCCTGTCTTGGCAAGATTTGACAATCCTGTTTTATCCATTTACAGATACTTTGTATCTTTGTCAGTGGTTGAGGTATGGGCATTTCTTTTCCCAAAAGCCAGTTCTGCCAAGAAGAAAGCAAGCTGCCAGTGGAGTGTCTTTGATGCTCAACATTCTCTCAGGAATAGATAGGTGTTTCCAGGAGCGATTGTGTCTCACTACCACAGAACTCTAAATTAAATCAAATGTCATTTTCTACAGATCTTTGAAGAGGTTGAAGATTATCTATCTATACAGATTATAATCTCTATGTATCTAAAGAACCTGATTAGTCTAACTATAAAATGACAATCATAATGACTATTGATCTAAAATTCTTAATACCTATCTAACTTAAAGACAATAAACAACTGTGCAATAAATGAGGACAATGACCTCCAAATGTAAACAATGTATAAGTATCTTGATCAGAGGTAGAAATGTACACTGCAATATGGTAAATATAGATGTCAACACATAAACAATGTTTTAAACAGAGATATAAACAACATGCATACAATATTCAATATAATTTAACTTTATATCAACATACAAGAATCTATAACAATGTAATTGTTCATAAACAATAACTCACAAATACCAATCTATTATCCAATCGTCCAGTTTTCCCTCTTTTTTTTCCCAAAGAGATCCCTGAGTTTATAAAGTTCCTCCCCCAACCCTCAACTATAATCAACCCCTAAATGATGTCCCAAAGCCTGAAGACAAACATTACGGGGAGAGAGGACATCGTCCCCTAGAATTACTTCCAGCTGTCATGGGGGCGACGTTCTTTCTAGGGGATCCTGTGAAATTAAAATGTAGGTTAAATTTTAAGATTAATGTCTGGTAAGATTGCCAATAGTCTTTGAGTATTTTGTGGAGATCTGGCCAGAATGTTGTAAAAGAGGTGCACCATTTCAGCCAACCAAGTTGGAACTGTCTTGTGCAGCTGGTACCCAAAACAGGTCTTGGAGTAGCACTATCAGTACCATGAGTCATATCAACCTGGTAAAGCTGTTATTATCTTCTTCCTGGAAACTCCAATGATTATTGCAGGAAAATTCATCATTCATTGTGGAAAACTTAAGCATTATTTATATAGACATATACAGACATATATATTCAATGAAAGGTATGATAAAGACAAAAATAGATATAAAAAAAGTGAGCATGAGATTCTTAATCTCGTGGTTGTGGGTTTGAGACCCATGTTAGGCACCAAGTGTTGTGAATTAGCTTGATATGGAAAATAACCAGGCCAGCTTAGGATAACAACTATATTTTTAATTGTTATAATTGGAAACTCACGCCACAAGAATGGGCAGTCTGACTTCCTCTGTCTGGCGGGAATTGCCCAGCGAGAGAGCACACCTGGTCCCTCTCAGCTTTTCTTCCTGTGCTCCATGTAGCCACACATTAACTGGGTATGATTGGTTAACAGAGCTTCCCCCATCATACCCCAGTTGTCATCAGAAAACACTGAGCAAGTGATGGAAGAAAGTACAGAGACCCAGAGCCAAGTACAAGGCAAACCTTGGGAAATTCTATGGAAGAGGCAGAGAAAGGATTATGGGAACCAGAGGGGCCAAGGACATCATACACACAAAATATCCACAGTATCAACTAACCTGGGCACATAGAGGCTTACTGAGATTCAGCCTCCAGCCAGAGAGCTTACATCGAACTATTCTAGGCCCTCTGCATATCTGTTACAGTTGTGTAGTTTGGTCTTCTTGTGGGACTCCTAACAGTGGAGCAGGGGCTGTCTCTGACTTTGTTACCTGCTTTCAGGATCATTTCCTTTTACTTAGTTGCCTCACTCAGCCTTAATAGAAAAAGAGGTGCCTTGTCTTGTTGCAACTTGATATGAGATATGGGAGGTCCTTCTGTATACGTGTTGCTTTTTATTGGTTAATGAATAAAAAAGCTGCTTTGGCTGTGCTAGGGCAGAAAAGAGCTAGGCCAGAAACCTAAACTGAAAGCTGGGAGAAAGAAGGCAGGATTTCCATGTAGCCCGCATAGAAGAGAAATGCTGAAACTTTGCCCGATAAACCACAACCTTGTAGCGATACACAGATTAATAGAAATGGGTTAATTTAAGATATAAGAGCTAGCGAGCAATGCACTTTAATGATTGGCCTAGCGGTGATTTAATTAATATAGTTTCTGAGTGATTATTTTGGGTCTGGGCAGCCAGGAAACAAACAAGTAGTCTCCATCAACAGATAAGTTATGGTTAGGTGATATACATGAGAGGTTTGCCCTCTCTGAAGAGAAAGAAGTAGGAGTGGATGGGGGAGTGAAGGTTCTTGGGAGAGTATTGGAGGAAAAGAGGGAGAGAAGGTAAAATGTGATTGGACTGAAAGTAATTAATTAACTTGTTAATTAAGAAAATACAAAAAAGAAGTATTCCTCACACTAAATAGCCTATATGTATCTAGTGTTCCAATTAATAAATAATTTTATGACCTTGAATGTTTGCTTTGATTATGCTTTCTTTCTGCAAAATTCATCTTTTACCTTAGGCTATCAACATTATCTATGTCATGAAGATTTTTAGGAATTCACTGAGTTAATAATAGCTTTGGAGTAAAGGCTGGCTATCAATATTGTTAGTTTCTTACCATTATCTTTATTAACATTTTAAGTTGTAATACACATTGTGCATTGACAGAGAAAACTAATTCATTGCTCAAGTATGATTATACTGAAATTCTACATAGAGAATTTCTGTTTCCAAATAATGATTCAAACTGTCCCATCATGTTTCTTATTAGATAAATTTAGACATAATGCTCTTTTTCTTCTTAATGGATAGTATATATAAATAAATCTATTATCTTAGAATTAGCAAAAACAATAACAATAACAAAGACAATAGCAACTGCCGTTTATTTGTACTTACTCTATGTCAAGCATGGTGTTAAACACTCACAGCTGCTATGAGACACTTTGAGTAATGATAATTATGACCCCTTAAAATTCAACTGAATCAAATATCTAACTAGACTCAATTAATATGATTTAACCATCAGTTCACCAACTAAAAGCTTTCCAACAACATTGATCTTCAATTTGAATTCAAGTATTTGGTATGTATTTTCTTGCAATAACTTCTTTTAAATCAAGTTACTGTGCTTAACTGGTATTCTTACCAGTTGAATCAAGTCTATACACTGAGTGACATGCATCACTTCTCATGGTTGGCTTTGAAGGTCTTCTAAAAGCCAATTCTTACTTTTTTTGAGAACAAACAATAAGTAGGAAATTCATATTCCTATAGTTCATTTCTAGTGAGAAAAATACTTTGTAATTAAAGTACTAAAATGGGTCATAAGGAAATTAGAAATTATTTTGAAAGTTTTATGATGGAACTATTTTAAAAGATATATAAAACTAAAATATACTCTGTTATTTGCAACTACATACATTATGTACTAGATTTAAGATGCTGTGTCTGCTGGTTTTATTAAAAATCAATATCATTATTAGGAAGAAAAGAGTTAACTTTTACAACAAAGAAATATATTTATAAACTTGAAATAAATAGGACCTAAATCCACCTTAAGTCCTAGGACAGACACTAGAAGCTTGACTCTACCCCTACACAGCAAGAAACAGACAGATGAACACAGCTTCGCTTCTCCTTTGTAGTCTCTTGAGATCTAGAATAAAGATCCCTGGTGAGCCAAGAAACTCTGAACAGAAAAGTAACTCCCTGATAGCACCTAAATGTGCTTACAGAGCTCCAGACAAACGGGACAACATATCAAGTTCCTTTGGAATTTGCAACTTCCAGGCTGCAGCGGAATAGACCACAGATGGACTGACTCTTCTACCTCAACTTTCCCTTTTCTGCTCTACAAAATCCCCAAGCTCCCTGAACTTCAACACACAGGAGCCCACTACCCTGGAGAGATGGCTGCCCCTCGTTGTTCTAATTATCAATAAATGAAATAAATACATGAACAAAAACATTAGACTTTATAGTATCTGGGTAAATGATAAATAGGAGAGAATTTAGTAACAGATATCTTTTCCTTCTTGAAATTTAATAGAAAAATGAAAAGTGATAAAATTTTGAAATTACTAAGTGAAATGCAACAGTTTTTGATGCAACACTTTTGTAAAATACACTATAGTATAAATAACAAAGTTCTTACCTCCCCCCTTCAAGGATCCTTAACTATAGTATCAAAAATGAATAGAACAAATCAGTGTGTTAAGAATTCACCATGTTATATCAAATTTTGCCTTTCTTTGACTCATCATTGCTTTTTCTCTTTCCCTTGTGAAGCTTGTGACTGTTCCCATCTGGGCAACAATTGTGACCCGAAAACTGGCCAGTGCATTTGCCCTCCCAATACCATTGGAGAAAAATGTTCTGAGTGTGTTCCCAACACCTGGGGCCACAGCATTGTCACCGGCTGTAAGGTGAGTGGATCGCTGTTGTCAGCAGATTGTTTTCTTAAAAAGTTTCCATTCAGTTGAGGTCTGTAACTAAACATTTCAACCCAATATCACATCACAAACTAACACAGAATTATCAAAGTGTCTTAAAGACACTGGCCATTATTTTCCACTCTACTGTGACAGAGACACTTATTAGTTGAATTCATGATGCCTACAAAATAGAAGGGGAAGGGAAAATAAATCTATACTAAAACTTCAAGTAACTATCTCATTCTAAGAAAAAGAAAATACATCTGTTAAACAAGAGAGACAGAAAAATTAATTTGCCAATATCCTATTAAAATTGTGTCAAGTTATCTTGGCTTTAATTTACAAAAAGTTGATTAAAAGGAATCTGAAGAGTAAAATTAACTAGCTTTAGTCAGAAAAGTACTGTTTTTCCCTATGCAGATCAAGCCTCACTCTTAGCATCAGCAGCAAAGAATCACCCATGAAGCATTCATGAGTGATGCCACAGGTCAGGACCCAGTGGCTTCAGTGAGGTTGTGGTGTGGGCTGCAGAGTGCAGACACCTTACACTTATTTGAATCCACTGATTTGGAGTAAAACAGGAGAAGCCCCAAGGACTACTAGGCTCTATTCTGGAAAAAGTGCAATAGGACATACTTATTCCTTTTAGGAATCATAGGGAATGTAGGAACTTCCGGAAGATGGGCATTCAGGGAAGGCTTGGTTCTTTGTTGCTTGATATTTGCCAATCACTAATTAAATGAGATTAAAACTTACTTACCTAATTGCAATGAGCTTTGACTTACAATTGCAATAGATTAACCATCCCTTGCACCTTTTCGAAATCAGCTCTCCTGGCACACACCTTTAATTCCAGCACTTGGGAGGTAGAGGCAGGCAGATCTCTGTGAGTTCAAGGTCTACAAGATCTAGTTCCAGGACAGGCTCTAAAACTACAGCGAAACCCTGTCTCAAAAAACAAAAACAAAATAAAAAAAAATCAGCTCTCCTTTACCCCTTCTGGAGCTATTGTGTTGAGCTTAGTGATTTCCTCACCTATATGAAACTCAGCTGTTTTCTTTTTCTAGTCTCGAGGACAGTGAATTTGATTTGCCTTCCATCCCTTACTTTTGAAGTTTATTCGTCATACTGCAAACATCAGAAGCTTGTTCTATGTAGTTGCTTAATTATATTACATTGTGTGCTCTCCTGTAACTTGCTAATCTGTTTACTTATGATAGGCAGTTCAGAACATTCATTAATTACTCTGCTATGAGCATTAGTGTGGGAGTCAGCAGTATATTCACAAACCAAAAATTTTAATTTTTCTTAAGAATATTCCACATCTTTGCCAACAAAGACAATGCTGACTATTTCAATTTTAATGATTTAGTTGGTTGTGCATTCCTATCTTTTGCAATCTTTAATGTTAAACAATGGTGGGAATTGTGTTGCTGATTTAATTAGCAATTTGCTATTTATGTATATCCTTTTATGAAGTTGTTACAAATATTTTGCTCACTTTTATTCTGACATTGTTTTCCATTGATAACAATAATTATAAGAGGCTTTTGTGTATTCTAAATGAAAATTCTGTAACGTACACACATTAAAACTAAGAATATAACTTGCTTTTTACCTAGTATCTTTATCTAATTTTGATATGAGTTAACAAGTTTCTTGTATCATTTCTTTTCTGGATTCTGCTTCTTATATTTTTGTCTGGGAAGAATATGTTTTCCTAAGCCTAAAGATTTCTTTCCTGTGATTTCTTTATAAAATTTTATAATTTAGCTCTTCAATTTGGGTTCACATTCCACATTTAATATAGAGTTTTCTCTAGTTTGAGGTAATCAAATTCACTTTGTTATGGCTGTCCAATTTTTCCAATATCATTTATTGAAAAGACTTCCTATTTATATAGCTTTGTTCCTTTATTAAAATAGTTGGTCTCATGATTATGATTCTTGGACTCTTCTATTTTCTCATGTAATTGTGTAGATAGTGTGATGTTTTTGTTGCTGTAGGAAGGACTGAATCACATCACAAGTCCTCCAGCTTTAGTTCTCATCCCCTGTATTTTGGGAGGACTTTAGGTAAAATGTGTTGAATATTCTGTTGTATTCTTGTACACTGTTTATTCGCTGATCATCCGGAACCCTGTGATGCTTGCTTTTATGTTTTCAAAGGGAAGGTGCCAAAAAATATCCTTAAATCTATGGCAATGAGTCTCTCTCTGACCCTTCTTATAACCCGATTCATTGTTGAATTTCTCCCACCTTATAATCGTAACTATTAAACGACCTAAGGTTTCTGTGAGATCTAGAAATGTTTCATCTTATATGTATTCAATGTTTTCCTTTCACCAAATGCAGAGTTTTGTTTCTTTCCTGTGCACACTCAAATTCAACCAAAGCCTCAACCATTTTCCTGCATATCTTTAGACTTCTCACAGCACGGCTGCCATTCTGAGCACATTAGGTTTGTTCCTGTAAATTTTAGCTTCTTCATATTTTCAAAGCAAGTGCCACTGTCTCTCAGCTCAACTCTCTTTGTTTTACTTTTCTCTCTAGCGTTATAGTCTTGAAGCTGCCTCCACTCACAATATTATTTCTTTTTTTCTCAGAAATAATAGTTTTATACTTTATTATCCAATGTCTAAAAACTTCTTGTTTTGATTTTTGCTTAAAAATAAGTAGGTGGTATTTTAGTGTGTATATGTAACAAGTCCAGGTAAGATGAGAGACACACTGCACCTACTGGGTTTAAAAAGGTAAATAAAGGCATTTTAAAGGGGGGTGACCGTCCTTTCAGTCACCCTAAGTTTAGGAACACTGACATGTACCAACAAAGTGTGGCCTCCTGAGCCCGATTACACTGTTCTGGGTAGACAGGTAGACTCTATTTTTGACTGAGTGGATGTGAATGTGAAGAAAATCATGAGCTCCCCAACTCCGAGTGAGGACATCTGGACAGTGGATTAATTCTAGAGGAGGAAGAGTCACTACTACTTAACGTGCGGCTCCTCATAAGGCATCCATGCTCTGGTGGCTGGCCTACCCCAGAGTGCCTTGTCAAAATCAGAAAAGAGAACCCATAGTAGGGGGGTTTAGAAAGCTGGGGAGTAGATCTTGGAGGAGTTACCACAAGGAGTTGATGGTGAACATATTCAAAAGACATTTTACAAAATTCTCAGAGAATTCATAAAAATTTAAAATTGATTGAACACTGGCCTAAATTCACTGACCTCAGAAAGAATTTAAGTATTGGTAAGTGTTTAAGGAAGTTCGGACCACGCCCCAATAGATGACTAGAAGGCACAAACACTAAACAAGACAGTGATTTTCCTCCTTCTCATGGTATTGAGTTGACTTTCTATAATGCTACATTTTGAAAAACAGTATTTTTTCAAGTATTTGAAAGTTTTTGTTGAGTGTAAACAGTGCTCTAGGTTTCTGAGTGATTATTATTATTATTATTATTATTATTATTATTATTATCATTTTCATTTTAAAGTCAAACCTAACTATCCATTCTGTCACTTGAAATTGCTTCTTTAAAAAAATTAATAAGTAAGAATCATAGGAATGCATTCTGTCCACAAAGCATTAAACAGGGCCAAATTGTAAGGAAATTCTTGAAATTAAAGCTGATTCTTTATGGTTAGTATAAAGCAGGACTATGACTTACCATCTATGAAAGTTATTTGAGGCATATTCTTTTACGGGTACCTGAATAAACATTTTGTTGATTGAAGTCTGAATTGAATTTTATTACTTTGAACTATTGCTTAAAGCAACCTAAATTTCTGAGTAACTGCACATTTTGCTACTCGAATGATTTATAAAAATCATGTGGCTACTAGAAACTATTTACAAGCATACATTCTACCATTTAAAAACTTGGGTGAATATAATTTAAAGCAACAGTAATTTGGAAGGGAGAGAGTCTCTTCTTTTTTTTTGCCATGGAGAATTCTTCCAAGCTGCGGTGGGTGCACACACATCATTTGAGCTGTCGTTGCAGTAGAATACCCAGCCTGTCATCCTTCAGCAGAGGAAAGGCGAATAAATCCTCTGTTGCTAAACAAACATTGCATCCAATTATAATTTAAGTTTAATGTTGGGTATAGTGCTAGCTAAACACACACTCAGTTGTCTCATTTATTCCCACGGTAATTTCTCAAATAAACTTCCTGATCTGGAACGATTCCAAAGTCTATTTGTACTGTCAGCAATCCCCAAGAGCTGGCTATTTGATTATATACAGCAAACTGGTGAGAAGGCATTTTATATTATTTTGTCATCTAAAATGATGTTGCTTTTTGGAACCTTTGGAAATCTATCCCATGGTTATTGTTTCCACACCATATCATTATTTTATTTAAGCGAGTCCACACATACTCAGTGAAATTGGCAATTCTGAAAGCTCATTCTACATCTGCTATTCTTTAGTGAGTTATGTGTGGGCCATTGTATTAATCAGCGTTTTCTAAAGGAATAGAAATAGCTGGATGAATATGAATATACATACATATTAAAAGGGAATTTAGCTGATTGGCTTACAAGATTTGGTCCCGGTTGTTCAAAGAATGGTTGGCTCACAAAGGAAAATGGGGAATCCTGTAGTTTCTCAGTCCATGAGGCTGGATGTCTGAGCAGTCCCAATCTGGCTTTGGTGTCCTGGAAGATTCCAGAAGAGTTGCTTGTTTGCAATCTACTTTGGAATGCCAACACAGCTGATTTTAGTACCAGCAAAGAAAGGACTCAGCAAGAGGACAGGACAAGTTGCCAGCAAGAGTGAGGGCAATTGGGGAAAGAGCAGGGTTTTCTTCTTCTGTATCCTTTTCGGTGGACGGCAACAAGGCATAGCCCCAATTCAAGGTGGGTCTCCTTGTTTCAAATAATCTAAAAAAAAATCCCTCACAGCAGAGTCTAGATATTGGGTTTTAGTAGATTCAAGATGTATCTAGTTGACAATCAAGATAAGCCATCACAGATATGGTAATGGGTTACCTGTGTATTAGAAACTACCTCTGTTAGAAGTCCTCTTCTTGCTCTATCTTACCCTCTGGGAAATATCCTATTGAGTTGGAAACCCATCCCTTTTTTTAGTTCTTGTTGTTTTTGGGTTTTGAGGTTTTTGTTTTGTTTTGTTTTTGTTTTTGTTTTGAGACATTGTTTCCTCTGTGTAATAGTCCTAGCTGTTCTGGAACTAACTCTGGACCAGACAGGCCTCAAACTCAGAGATGCCCCTGCCTCTGCCTCTCAAGGGCTGGGTTTAAAGGCACACACCACCACCACTTGGCTCATTGGACAGTCTTGAATATTCCTGTAAACTCTAAATTAAGGAAAGGTGCATCTGGCTTTCTCTTTGTCTTTCTTACTAACCTGTAGCCTCCTGAAAAACATACATGTTCAAACCCATGTCCTGCCACTTAACTGGGACTATGCAAGTTATAGCCTCTTTTTCATTATCTGTGAAATAATAACAAGAAACTACTTCCATAGAAAATGTGTGCCATCCACTGTGTCTGCTCATCTCAGCATCTCTATGAGGAGGTCACTGTATCATTTCTTAAGAATAGGAAAATTGGATGCATCCGGAAGTGAATTAACCTGACCCAGGCTTTATGGCTAGTAAGTGGTAGGAGTAAATGAAGCATAGGTCTGAATACCTAACTGCTCTACTATACAAGTGTTAGCCCACTCATGACCATAGGACCTGCCTTTTACTTGATTGTTATGATGGATGATAAGTTGATTATAAAATGCAATGTTTGTGTGTTTTTAAAGTAGACAGACCAGATTAAGAAGTAGAGAAAATACTGAAACCTAAGTCTGTTTTTGGAACTGGGTCTTATTAACAGTCATGGCAGGCTCTAAAGGATGTCTCTCCATCCACTGTGTATCAGGCATCTAGAGTCGTCATTAAACATTCACACTGACACCTTTTCCCAGAAGACATGGACAAATACCTGAGATCTACACTTTTGTTGAAATATTTCCTCCCTCCTCTTCTCTCCCTCTTTCTTGTGTTTGTGTGTGTGTGTGTGTGTATGTATGTATGTGTGTGTCTATGATATTTTCAGGCACATAATCAACTCTAAATAGCTATTTATATTTAAATTGTTAATTAAATTTATTTTCTCCTATATTTATTAGGAAGGAATACAATATAAAAAGGGTTTGTTTCTGTTTTTTTCGGGGGGTTATGTATACTTTTAATTCTTATTTTAATGTTGTGCTTAGTGTAACTAAATAAATGGAAAGTGAAATCAAGCCCCCCCAAAAGAAAGAAAACATGGTTGTAATATAATAATAGCCACAGTTCATATCTCTAGTTTAAAATGCCTTTTTTAAGATTCTATTGAAGTGTGTGTGCATGCGCACAGGCGCGCATGTGCCAAAGCGTGAGCACAGGTCAATTCTCAAGAGTCAGCTCCCTCTTGGCCCCTCGTAGGATCGATTCATCAGGCCTGACCACTAGCACTGCTCTCTACTCACTGAACCATCGCACTAGCCCTAAACTAGCACTTAAGGCAATTACTCCTACAGCTTCTTCCCTGCATAAGAAGGAAGAGACAGAAAGCTGCTTGGTTATCAGGGCTGAGGGGGTAGCTCAGTCAATATAGCACTTGCCGCACAATCAAGCGGCCCTAACCTTGATCTCCAGAACTCACAGCAGAGATAGCCTAGTTTGGAAGCCCACCAGCTCCTGTAAGAGATGCTGTCTCAAAACCTAAGGTGGATAGAACTTGAGGAATGACATTTGAGAGTGACCTCTGCTTCCATATCTACCTACAGAAGCATGTGTATATATACATTTGTAAGTACGCATGCATAGACACACATGGGTGTGCACACAAAATTAAAAATATAATTTAAGATAGCTTAGGATGAAATAAAACAAACAGTACATTTTCTTTCTTATCACACAGCATTGCAGTTTCTAGATTATCATGTATTTTTCTCCATGTAGGAAACTTTTTAATGCTGTCTTCACAGATGTGTCCCAAAGGACTACACTCCAGCATTACAAAGCTTATTACATGGTTCATATTTGCATAGTGGAATAGAAACGTTAAGATTAAAGTTTTAAGATGTTTCCTATGCAGTTGTGTCAACAGTTGCTGTTTTTTCTCCCTTCCACAGGCTTGTAACTGCAGCACAGTGGGGTCCTTGGATTCCCAATGCAACGTAAACACAGGCCAGTGCAACTGTCATCCCAAATTCTCTGGTATGAGATGTTCAGAGTGCACCCGAGGTCACTGGAACTACCCTCACTGCAGTCTCTGTGAATGCTTCCTTCCAGGAACAGATGCCACCACTTGCGATTCGGAGACAAGAAGGTGCTCCTGCAGCGATCAGACGGGACAGTGCACCTGTAAGGTACGCGGGGCTGCAACACTGTGAGGAAAACCCTCATTCGCTGTGGAGTCCGTTACTCAGTTTCATCGTCATTCGGTGTTTCATTCTTGCTTCATTAAGCAACACAAACAAACGTTCATGGCCAGACACAGATTTCCTTGATGTACGATCATTGGCGTAGGCTCTAGTTTTCAAGAACTCCCTTTCAGCCCAAACGCAATCTCGTTTCCAGTCAGTACACAGGGTGTCATTTCTACAGTGAGTGGAGTTATTTTTCTTCTGTGTTCTTCTTGCATAAATAAATGTCTGGGGAGTGGGCTGGGAGGGCTTTCAGGCACAGTCAGAGGGAAGCACGGCTGATACCCAAGCTTATCTCAAACCATTTCTCCTGAAGTTAATCCGCAGTCCCTGCACACGTTAGCATATTTACTGCTAAGGAGATTCAGTAAAATTCCATCACCTATGAATCCTGACAGAACAAACAGTGGCTAACTATGCGCAAATTTCAGTCCTCATTAATACTGCTAAATGATGTAGAAAAACAGCCAATTAAAATGGGTAAGAGGGATATTTTTTGTGCCTTATATATTTCTGGAAAATAATCCGAAGAAAAATGTGGTTAAAACAGTGTCATACATAGCTTCTCAAGGCAACGTCTATGCAAAGAAATCCAGAGGAAATAGCGGATTGAAATCTGGGAAGCAAATAGCCTTGAATTTCAGAAAACAACAGCTTCTGCATGAAGCGGCCTAGTTAAGCAGATTATCATGCCCCAAACATGCACACTTTAATACGGCTTTATGTTATATTTGCTGTATGTTGCATACATATCATATTATAGCATTTGTATAATATTAGAGTAACTATATGAATGTGCTTTAGCTTCCTGGCTTTTTTCATAGCTAGGAATTATTGGTTACCTTTGCGTTTGAAATTCTTATTGCTCACAGCGGAGTCATCGGAAATGCACCATTAGATCTCAGCAACAGCATCCAGCATCCTTAGTAACAGGTGCATTTAGGAACCAAGTACCTTTTAAAGGCCCAAGAAATCCCGACAGGGATGTGAGCTATTAATACCATTTGAGGTATAAGTCTTATACTCTTTGTTCGTTTGTTTTACCTTGCTAAATGGAAAAGAAATGTGTTATTAAGCTGATTTCTCCTATAAAATTATAATGAACGCTGAAGGAGCCTCTTCTTTCTTCAGGTGAATGTAGAGGGCATTCACTGTGACAGGTGCCGACCTGGCAAATATGGACTTGATGCCAAGAATCCACTTGGCTGCAGCAGCTGCTATTGCTTTGGCGTTACTAGTCAGTGCTCTGAAGCAAAGGATCTGATCCGTATGGGGGTGAGTAAGGAGCTGCTGAGCCATGTAATGGTATAATGTTCATTCCTGCAGGAATCTTTCAGTCAGGCCCTGAGGGGTAGTAGGAAATGGCAAAACATTTAAGTAACCTTGTCCCCTGCGTGTGTTCAGAAATGGTAAAGGCTCCACGTGCCATTAGGCAGTTGGTATAAACACCTCTAAATTCTCCCTAGCAGATTGTTCAGTTACTGTTGATAAGGAAATAGATGGCAAGTGTGGACTGGAAACCCTGCCAGGGAGGCCTGGTGTCCTGGGTTGGTAAGCTGTCACATCTAGAGGAAGGAGGAGCTAGGGTGGGAATGTTGTCATCTAACACTGCCCTAGAGATCACAGACTGCTGTGTGCCTTCCAATCAGCCATCGGAAGATGCCCATTTTTAGCATTGGGATTATACTTATTTTGGGTTTCATTTCCCTTTATCTCTCCAGAATTTAATTTCAACTTTATTATTAATAATTTCAACTAATTATTAGTGATAAAATATTGCAGTTTTTAGAGGTTCTGAGTTTTATCATGCAAGTCATTTCAAAACAGTTATTCCCTGCTGCCTTCACCCACCATGTCTCATTTCGTTTCCCTGTGACAACTCACCAAACAGGGACAGGAACTCAGAAGGTATGTCTCCATACTTAGCGTTAAAACGATGCTTCATATACATATTCAGCTTCCCGCTGAAATTTGTTCTTCGCAGGTGACCCTGAGTGACGAGCAGACCATTCTGCCTCTGGTGGATGAGGCCCTGCAGCACACAACCACCAAAGGCATCGCTTTCCAGCATCCAGAGATCGTTGCAAAGATGGATGAAGTCAGGCAAGATCTCCATCTGGAGCCTTTTTACTGGAAGCTGCCAGAACAATTTGAAGGGAAAAAGGTAAAAATAACCCTGAATTCCCAAGTGAACAATATAAAACAAGGTTTAGGAGTCAGGTCATTTGGGGGGGGTGGGGGTTACCTAAGTCATCTCTTTTTATTCTATTTCGTTTTCAGCTGATGGCCTATGGAGGGAAACTCAAGTATGCAATCTATTTTGAGGCTCGGGATGAGACAGGTTTCTCAACATACAAACCTCAAGTTATCATTCGAGGTGGGACTCCTACTCACGCTAGAATTATCACCAGATATATGGCTGCCCCACTCATTGGCCAGCTGACAAGGCATGAAATCGAAATGACAGAGGTAAGCTTGGTAGTTATTTGGTGTAAAGATACTGAAGCTTTTTTTTAAAATTCAGTTTTATTGCAACAGACTCTTTTTCTATTTACAGAAAGAATGGAAATATTATGGTGATGATCCTCGAATCAGTAGAACTGTGACCCGTGAAGACTTCTTGGATATACTCTATGATATTCACTATATTCTTATCAAGGCTACTTATGGAAATGTTGTGAGACAAAGCCGGTAAAGTATAAAAGAAAGTACTCAAGTTAAGATCATGTTTTGGTGTCTACAGGGCTGGTCAGGAAGACACCAGACAAGAAATCAACTAGTGGCTACTTTGGAACTAAGGTGATGAAAGACAAACCAAGGAAGGCTTCTGGTCACTCAATAGAAGATACCGTAGTTTGCCCCTAAAATAAGTAGCATAAGAACAATATTCTTACCTACATTAGTCATGGAAAGTTTAATACACAAGGCAAAACTTGAGCACAGCACATATTAGGGTTGCATATTATCAACTGTAATGTTTTGAATCCATCGTAAGATTATGGAGAACACTGACCTTGAAACACAAAGGTGAGTAGTTAAGGCCAAGTTAGCAAGTCTCCTTCATTCTTGAGCACGCGCCTGTGTCCATGCTTTTGTAACATATATGTCCATTTACCCTAGATATCATAATGGAAGATGATTGAAAATTATAGTAAAAAATCAAACACAGGTGAATTAAAGAAATGCATGTAATGACAAGGAAGCCAAACTGAGAATACTTCAAGAGCGTATTCAGTGTTTCTATGTGAACCAAAGAGGCCAATTAATACAAACATCATTGAGAACGACACTTGGGACCATACTGGTGCTTTTTCCAGTATTGACTTTCACTGTTATCTTTAGTCAGAAATAGTCTCAAAGTTTTAAAAAAATAAATGAGACACAAAGAACCCAATATTAAAAGTGTGAGCTATTGTTTTTTATGACCCTGATTATAAAATGATAGAATGACCTCAGTGACAAAAATCAAGGATGTTTGTCTCATTTGAAAAATAGGCAAACATGTTTATAGACTGTGATAAAAGTAGTAATTAGAGAGAGAAAATAGAATAAAACAATGTATTATAAAGAGAAGAGTCGAGGGTCCAGGAGACATCTTCACTAGTAGAAGGGTCATCCCATGAGATTAAACGAGAACTCACACAGAGTTAAGTTCTTATTGCAGAGGCTGAACATTGTGTTGAATTTACTCAGTAACTCAATGTCTCTTTTACATGTTATATTCTTTCATGTTTTGAAGAAACATGGAGTCAATACATGTTTGTAAAATAGTCTTATGACAAACAAATATACCAAGCTAGAGAAAATAAAGAAAAAAGAGGAAACCTCTCATAGTCAAACTAATAAATCTGAAAAATTCTACATTTCAGATATTTACACTGTTCTTAGATACACACAATCACCTTGAGAACTCTTTTTTATCTAATGGAAGATTCATATTGTTCATATCATTGACAAAGGGGCTTTCAGTGAAAAAGTTAATCATGAACCAAAATTCACTTTCTCATTTTCATTCCTTTGGTTTATCATAAAAATAAAAATATGTGTTGAAAAAAACCCACTACCACCTATATTGTTAATTATCTTAGAATAGCAAATGTACACTAGTGATAGAAGCCAAAGCAGGTTTGTATATTAGATATGCAAGCAGACTACTTTGCAAATTCCTGCACATTGCACTAAGAACTTGGCAATTCATAGAAGATGTTGTTAGTCTAACTGATGGGACCAGTGTTGTCTTAAATTTTCACTATACATCACCTTTTCTAAACTCTATCAAAACTCAAGTTGTCAGCTTGCAAAGAAAACAAGAGAGGCAGATGAATCACCTCACTTGATTACTTAAGACAGTGGGGGCTGGAGAGATGGCTCAGTGCTCAAAAGCACTGGCTGCTCCTCCAGAGATCCTGAGTTCAGTTCCCAGCAACCCCGTGGTGGTTCACAATCATCTGTAATAGGATCTGTCGCCCTCTTCTTGCATGCAGGTGGACATGCAGAGCACTTCTAAATAAAATAAAATAAAATAAAATAAAATAAAATAAAATAAAATAAAATAAAATA